ATCCCCTTTTTATCCTAAAGAGGTTATATAAGTAAAATAGACAGGATATGGGAAAGTAGAAAGAATGGACAGAAATGGTTATTCTAAGGATGATGGTGAAATGCCCAGAGGGAGCAGGGGATCGATCTATGGGCCGTGAGTCCTTGGGGGCTAGGCAGGCCGTGTGTAGCTTCGCAATCTCGATGCGGAGATAGCGACCCTCGCGCCCCGTACGGTACACATGTGAGGGCTATCCAAAAGGCCAAAGAATCGAGAACACCGCGGCGGATTCATCGGTTCATTGATAGGCCGGACCTTGTTTGGTTCCTAAACCCGAGCATCCTTGTCGTCGGAGAGCGAGACGGCTTGGAGAGCGAATCGCGACCCTGGACGCCTCGGGGCGTTGTGAATCTGACGTGTGGCTCTACCCGGCGCTAATGGAGTTAAGAAGCGTCGGCTTCGGTAGTGTCCGCCGCTAATCGCCGCTTATCGCCGCTTTGACCACAGGAACTGGAGATTATTACTGCAACCAAGAGCGATCTTATTGTGCGCTCCTCTCCTGCGCAGTGTGCCTTGTCTAACATCTGCTGTTCAGCTAAGGCTCTCCCTCTTGTGTCTGACGGCCCGGTGAAATCTTGAAGTCCCGCATAAGCACCAACCGCACCGCGGAGTACAATGGCTCGCCCGCCGCCTCCACCCAAGAGTCTGCTTGGCAGACACCGCCTCCTGGCGCCAACCGCGTCCGTCCGTGTCAGCCCGCTGTGCTTGGGCGGCATGAGTACGTCCCTGCAGTTTCAAATCCAATCGCTAGGGCAAGGCTGACCGTGTTCAAGGCTTGGGCAACAACTGGACTCCCCAGTTTGGCGAGTGCACCAAGGAGAATGCATTTGAGCTCCTGGACACGTTTTACGACCTCGGCGGCAACTTCATCGATACGTCCAATGTCTATCAAGGCGGTCAGAGCGAGGAGTGGATCGGCGAATGGTTGCAGAAGACTGGACGCCGGGATGAGATGGTCATTTCGACCAAGTACACCCTTGGCTATATGGCCGGCCGACCCGTGCAACAGAGCAACTTTGGTGGGACCGGTACGAAGAGCATGCATGTGGCCATTGAGGCTAGCCTGAAGAGACTCCGGACGGACTACATCGATCTGGTACGGGCGGAAATTCCATGCTGCCAATCACCCGTCCTGTAGGCTGACCCCACACAGTTCTACGTTCACAGCTGGGACTACGCCACCGAGATCCCCGAGTTGATGCAGTCCCTCAACACGCTGGTCCAGCAGCGCAAAGTCCTGTATCTTGGGATCAGTGATGCTCCTGCATGGGTGGTTGTGAAGGCCAACTGCTATGCTCGACAGCACGGCCTGCGTCCGTTCTCCGTATACCAGGGTCGTCTTTCTGCGCATGTGCGTGACATGGAGCGTGACATCATCCCAATGTGCCAGGACGAAGGCATGGCGATCCAAGCTTGGGGTGTCTTGGGCAATGGTATGTGAATGTATTACCCACTGTCGTCCGGAACCCTTTTTTTTTTTGACTAGGTACAGGTTATTTCCGGTCGCCTGAATCCGGACCAAAGGAAGAAGGGCGTAATACTCCCTTCATTACGACTGGCCGCGAGGCCCAAGTGTCTCAAGCATTAGATCGTGTGGCGAAGCGTCTCAATGTCCCCATTACTTCTGTTGCCATTGCGTATGTGATGCAGAAGGTAAGTTGAACCCCTATCTTCCGCGCGCTCTATGCGTCCGGCATACTGACTTCCTCGATCAAAAGGCGCCCTACGTGTATCCGATTCTCGGTGGCCGCAAAGTCGCCCATCTCAAAGCCAATATCGAAGCTCTTAGCTTGCAGCTCAGTCCGCAGGATGTCGCCGAGATCGAGAAAGGCTACGACTTCGATCCAGGCTTCCCTCACAATTTCATCAACATGGCAGGCAAAGCTCCCCGAGGACCGGAAGACGTCGCCATCCTCGCTTCGCTAGGCTATTTTGACTATGTTCAAGGTCCGCAGCCCGTTAAGCCGCACCAGGGAGAGCTTAATGCACCCTGGAAACCTTAAATGCCTAGGGGGATCTGAAGGGGATCGCTCAGGCCCAACTAGTGACAGCGATCAGCGATGTAAGGCATCTGGGGACTAAAACAAGTGCGTAACAAGAAATCATGAAACCTTTTGGCCTCAAAGGAATCTCGTCCCATATTGGGGGTTACAGTCGTTAGAAAGAATCAATGGAGAGGTCAATGTCGCGAGTTTGTGGGCCAATGTGGTGGCTGCTCTAAGGCTCTCTAAAATTCTATGATGTTGGAACACACTCGTAAAGTCTGATCCAGTAAAATGCGTGTGAGATGATTGAGCGTATTTCCTGAATTTTGCATGATCTGTCAATTTCCATGTCCAAAGTGTGATCTGTCCCTGTGTAATGATCCAGGCTAAAAGAACAGCAATGGAATCCCATTCCATAACTATTTTAGGCGACTCGATACAAGAATCTCAAGCATGGAGAGGGAACAAGGGCATGCGGATATGCCAGGAGATCGCATGACTAATTCACATGACCTGTCACATGACTATAAGCGCCAGTAATGCCATCACACTGTGCCTGTAGCACGTGGACATTAAGCTGCGAGATGGCAATGGTACAGATAGTAGAAAGATTTCAGCTTTGGCAATATGCAACAGCCCATATTACTATTTGTATGAAGCCTTGTGACCTGCCTCACTCTTGATTTAGCCCAGAGCTCCCATAGGTTGATATTGATACACTCAGGTGAAATAGGAGTGCATGTATGGTCGCCTAATAGGGACACAGAAGATAATATAACATACAGCTATATAGCACATAGCTGTCTTGAGTGCCCTTTTTTAATCCAGATACCACTCAGGGGTTGAAGTCGGTGAGCTGCCAAGCCGCTAAATCACATGGCCTGATATTTCCATGGAGGATAAATGTGAAGGGGTGGTGTGAGCAATGATATGATGGAAAGTGGGTTATTCCAAGGTATAGACTGATGATAGTTGATCTCCGCACAGAGCAGAGCGGACTCACAGAACACAATCTAGAAAGGGGATTGGGAATAGACAGTAGGAAAAGGATCTTTGAGGAATAATAATGAAGAGAATGCGTCCTCAGGGGTGTCAATCCCACCAAGAGCCAGAATACACTTGATTATGTGCATATAGAGCACATGATTAGACCTTACAGGGATCACATAACCTTCTGGAACACCTTTTGATTCTACAATTTGCGCTGATCCAATTCTGACTATGCATGTAGGCATCTGTGACAGCCCAGTCAATTTGATGATGTCAAAATGGCTGGCTGAATTCAGAAGAAAATCCTAACTTGAAGAAAAAATTTACATGAACGTGGGGAATTCTGTGTGCAGGTGCCTTCCTAATCACTCTGCCTCAGGCATCAAAACCTCATGCCGAGCCATCAGTGTCACACTCAATTGAGGCACCTGTCCCAATAAAACTAGTAATGTTTATGGTGTGTAGAGACACAATTTTTGTAAGGTAGCTTTCAAATTGTGAGTCCTTGTCGACTTTTAGGCACCGCTAGTATTGTGAAGATTTGTCGAATTTTACGACTAGTCAGCATCCGCTCGGTCACGTTGTGGATTTGTGTCTATTACCTATTTCGGTTAGCTAGTTGACCCCTTTATTCTGTCGTATTTAGGCCTAGATAGCCCCTAGATTCGAGGAATAGACCTTCATATATTCGAATGGGGGTAGTACGCCTGGAAACCGTGGCTGACAGTCCTCTAATGATTTCTCACAGACACGTGACTGAGGGAGTAATGATGTAAGGTAGGCACACTAAACCAAAATAGGATTGAATGCGAACAATTGATTCCAGCTGGTCACTTTTCTTATGATCATGTGATTAGATGCCCAATATCTACTAGAGCATTCTTTCTCCTCCACTCCAGCAACCAGGAAATACTTCAACCTATGTCTGAGTGAATAAGTGTTGTCAGGTGTGGCAACAATAGACTTTCTGGAGATGTTGATTCCCTGCTTGACACTCAAGAAGGCGTTCGCTACTGATTTTCACTGCCCTGCTCGGTAATTGCAACCAGTCACTATGACACACCATCAACTTCCTCCTGCTGCCGAAGATATTCGCAAGGAAATAAAGGAACTGATTCCTGAGACGGCCACTCGGTCGGGTTCACCTGGCCGGAGTCAAGCGAAGGTCTTCGACGAAGACAACAATGGGAACAAGACTTACAAAGGGGACTTACTCACGGCTAAGATATCTCATCTAACAGGTGAAATGAATATTGGCGATGTATGTTTCTTGGATTGCTCTTCAGGATGTTAGGCTGATCAAACATCCCGTTTGGCGTTTGGTATATTTCTCGAGGCCTACAAACTTTTAAAATGACCGGAAGCAAGTCTATCTAATACCTCTGTAGAAGAATATCACCCTGACGCCTGGGGGAGTACTGGAAGAAGGGTTTTACACCTACATCACAAACGATCCGACGATTAGCGCGGGGGCAACCGTTATATTTATTCTACCTCTTTAATATGGAATACCGGCTCTTCTTCATGTGTTTATATATCTTGTTCCCAGCGATTCTGTGTAAATGTTTTTTTCACTCGTACCAGAATGGCACGCAACCTGCGCACCAAAGCGGCTCGCAACAGAAATCGGCTTGCGCCAGCACAACATATCAAACCCTATATACGCAATCTTGTGTTTTCGTGTCGAACGACTTTCCTTTGTCCTTGTTTTATTGTTTTGGATCCATAGGTATGGACACTCCCTTGCCAGACCCAATCGCATTGCTGATCATGCTGCCTAGATTGCCTCTGTTTCTGGTCTCAGTTGGCTAGCCACCGCTGCCATGTCTTTGACCAATGTCCTTCTCCATATCCCCGCACCGGAAAAGGAGTTTGTCTGCAGGATTTCGATCTGCGGGATACTTTGCTGGACCTCTCTGTCCAATAACACTCGGATATTCGTAACTGCAAATAACCCTGCAGGGTGACTCTTTTCGAGGGCAGCTAGTGCTTTCTTCCCCCAGCTATTACGTTCAACCGCATTCTTCAAGTTTTAATGGTCGGGATCCGGAAAGGATGGGCGAAGGACCACCTTCAGAGGATGTTACAGACATCGCGGACAGTGAAGACAAACTGGGAGACAAGTATAACGCAGTGGTTAGTTCGATATCATCCCTCAGTGGATTAGTACATAACAGACACTGGAAACGATGGTTTGATCGAAGGAATTGCAGCCGAGCCAATGCTTCAGCTGCCAACACCATTGTTATCGCTTAGGTTGAGCAGACCAACATGGCGGCTTTGGGCCCTACATCCTGACTGGGCTTTGGCATATGCAGCTCGACCAATCCAGTAATACTGAACAGATACACGAGAGCATGTGACATCCAAAGCCGTCGCAAGCTGTAGCTGACTAAGCAAGGAACAAAATGCAGTCTAACAATCTCCTCTTATTCCACTACTCTATATCTCCTTGTCTACTCTACACAGGTACCTGAAGGACGTTATTTATGCTGTAGAACAGTTGCCATTGCGTCCTTTCACTACTTTCTATGAATGTCCCTTTTGGTGTTCTGTCGAAATCTCAAGAAGTCTCAAGGAATCCTCATATACGCACAGACTAACTGGCATATCCGGATGTCTCTCTCTATCCGACATTCAACTGTAACATTATTACCTAATCAGGCAGTTATAAAGCCAACCCCCCTGCCCTGCCTTTGCCCCTCTTTATTATTGACTACTTTTTTCATTTTTCGCCCCTTCACAAAAGAAAAAAAAGAGAGAGGGGAAAAAGGAAAGACAAAAAAAAAGAAACGAGAAGGAAAGGAAAAGTCTGGGCTTGAACACAGCCTCGTCTGTGCGCTGGCAAGGTAACTACTAGGGACTAAACTAGGTAGTTAACTATGCAAGAACGATTAGTTATTACAGTGTTATTGTAAGATCTATGCAATGTTCAGTTTCCTGTTCGGTGCATCTCGTTTGTGCTGTGCTCCACCAATATTTGGCAGTAAATAAGTAGGTAGGTAAAGCTAAGAAAAGAACAATAAAAAAAGAAATCTGCTCCACCTTATAGTTAGGTACTCCGTACTCCCGCCCGCTACCTATTTCCCGCTCCTCCTCGTAATCGTATTCGTGTTTAAACAGTTCCTAATATATATGCTGTATACAATGACATTTAGTTTACCTAGTTATATTCTTAATTTTTATTTCCTCCCCGCTTTACTGCACGGTTGCACCCCAGAAGCAACTTGTATCAAAGAAAAACAGAAAGGGTCGTGCGACCGCACTTTCGCTATACCTAACTAATGTTACCTAGTTACCTACTCGATTGGGTTTTCTTCTTTGTTCCTTTGCTCGGATCTCTCTGCCACTACCAAGCAGGGAGTCTGGATACTAGGTAGTAGTAATAGTAGTAAGTTAATTATTCGATATAACTAGTTCTACAGTACTACTAGTGGGTGACATGATGTTATATAGTTATACAATGGGTGTGCGTGACACGGTTTACCCTTGAACAGATGGAAGGGTTTAATAAATGAATAAATAGACGACTTGACTCTGAATTCATTCAAAACAATAAAATTATTAGTAGGACATAGTTATACGTAGCATTTTCGTTTCCTTAAAAAGAAGGCGAACGTTTAGATTGAAGAAAGATTTATCATTACTATCCAGATTACACTACTGTCTATTAACTAGTATGAATCCATGACATTCTTTCGCCCCTTTTAGTCTAAACAAGTGAGTAACTTTTCTTTTTTCTTTATTTCTTTTCCCCCCAAAACAATTCAATGATTAATTAACCTCGGCCGTCGGGAAACAGAAACAGAAACAAAAAAAAAGGTCTGTGTCCATAGTTAGAGGAGATACCCTTGTGAATTGGGCATTTGCGTACGTTAACTCCTGGAAATTGAGCCAGACCCCTGGTCGTTACTGTGCCCGTTGACACGACAGCCACGTATCCCGCATTGCGCTATGAGGCGGTGACGTATCGGCGGCCGTGAAAGAGGAGAAAGGTTGAGAAGAAGATGAGGAGGATGAAGAAGAAGAAGATGATGATGATGATGACCGAGTGGCCAGTCCGGTGGCCGATCCTCGGATGGAAGGGAGGGAGAGAGGGGGTGGGGAGGGCAGGTGGGAAACCCTAACCCAGCCAACTGACAGTCCCAACAGCAATAATCATTGCACGTGCATACTTCCAAGAAAAAAAAAAGAAACAAAGGGGCCGGGGGCATCACGACTTTTGCGCATTCAACTATTCAACTTCTTGTCCATCGTCACGCGCCACTGTGGACCCCAGGTCTTTAGGGCCAATACAGCCGCGTTCCCTGTCACCAAAGCGAACAGGCCGACAATGGTGCACATCCAGCCGGCGCCGATGCCGTCGATGAGCGGCTGGGTGATGACCGCGCCGGTGCACGAGAGGATGTTGCGCACAAAGTTGTTGAGGGCGACGCCGCTCGAGGACCGCCTGGGCGTGAACTCGGTCAGCATGGTGGTAACGGTGCCCATGACTAGCATCACACCGAGGCCAAAGACAAGGGAGGCGGCGCAGGGCACCGCCCAGTGCAGTCCCTTGTCAACCGTCCAGCCATACCATATCAAGCCCGCCGGGTACAGCGACGCCGCCAGCCAGATGTTCTCCTTCATGCGATCCTCGGGCAGGTACTTGAGCTTGCCGTTTTCGTCGTACCGGCCGGCCTTGCGCGCCTCGCGCGCCATGATGTAGTCGATCCACCGCCCGCCCAGCAGCGACGACACCGCCGACCCCAGCGTGGGCGCCAGATAGAGCAGTCCCACCTGCATCACCGTGAAGTTGTACGGAGGCTTGGCGAATTCGGCCTGGATCGACACGTTGAGCACGAACATTGACCCGAACGAGATCGCCGCCGACCACAGCGCCACGATGATTGGCGGGTGGCGCAGCATGGCCAGCACCTTGAAGGGGTTGACGATGCGTTTGACGAATTCGACGGCCTTGCTCGTCTCGGCGGGCGGCGCCGGCGGAGAGTCGCGCCTGGCCACCGTTTCGGGGAGGCACAGGAGGATCAGGATCAGCAAGACCCCGCCGAAGATGGTCAGGAACCACAGCGTGCTTCGCCAGCCAAACCCTTGCGTCAGAGCTCCTCCAATGATTGGCGCCAGTCCGGGTCCACAGAGAGGCCCCAGATAGAATACCCCCATGGCGCGACCTCTGACTTTGGGCTCCCAGATGTCGGAGACGGTGCCCGCGCCGACGGCCTGGACCGACGCCGCTGCCCCTCCACTCAGAACACGGAAGATGATGAGCATGGCGATGTTGACGCTGACCGCACTCAGGCACGAGAAGATCAGGAAGAGCAAGAAGGACCAGAGATAGACTGTCCGCCGTCCGTGTTTCTCCGAGAAAGAAGACCTGCGCAACCACCCTCAGCACTTGTATTCTGATATAGAATTTCGTCGAGTTTATTTATCGAGCGAAAACTCACCACCACAGCGGAGTAAAGGCCATTGCGAGCATGTAGAAGGCTAGCGATAGGTTGGTTACGGTGGGCGTAGTCTTGAGATCAACGGCAACCTCGGCCAGAGCAGCTATCTCATTCACGTTAGTCCACAAGTTTCTAACAACTATGTATGCCTTCTTTTTATTTCCCCTCCCCTCCCCCTTCTCCTTTCTGAGTTTTCTTTTTGTTCTGTCTCAGCCAGCTTTTGTGAATACTTACGATAGAAGATGGAAGAGCCGGTCGATGAGGTGATGGCGGCAAAGCTGACAATAATCGTCATCCACCATTTAGTTACATTACCGTAGTTATGCGGATTGGTAACCTCGGGAATGATGGCGAGGCTCGCAAAGAGACCTCGACGCTGCGATCTCGGGACCTTCTGTAGGGTTCGAGATTCCGCCTCGGTTTTGGACGTTTGTTTGGCAAGACCATTATTTGCTTGGTCCCCTTGCTTCTGTTCCTTGGAGCTGACCTCGGACGCGTCCTGCTGCTGAGGGTCGACATCTGGCTTTTTTTTCTCATCCAGCACGGCATTGGCGGTGTTGTTGCCCGTGCCGGCGCCTTCTCCCTTCTCCAAGTCCGGCGCCATCTCACCGGGCTGCGTAGGTCGAGGTTGGTGTCTAGTTCGAGCTGCGAGGCTAAGTCTTGACCGCGGGACACAATGCCGACGATCTGGGAGGACACGACAATTGATATTTCTTGTGCGCTCTTGTCCGTTCCGCAACCAGGACCTTGGAAGAAGGTATAGGACGAGAAGGAAGAAAACAAGGACGCAAGATCAAAGAAATAAACGAGTATAAAGGACCCAGAAAAGAAAAACAAAGAATCGTCTGCCCAGACAGTCGGTAAGTATCGGGTAGAACAGGCGGACATAAAGGACTTAACGCCTGTTCTGGCCCGGAGATAAAGTATGGATTGTACGGAGTATACCCAGCAGGCGGCATCGTTGGACTGTACACCTTCTTGCTGACAAGGGTGTACAGAGTAACTACGTCGCCCGGCCGTGGCTGCCAGCTTTTCCCCCGCCCCCTGTCCAAGCATTGACCAATGGGGAATGACTTTTGATTCCCGACACGATCTGACATGGAGATTCTGATAATGCCAACGACTGGCCGACTGCTATTCCTGAGCTCGACTTACGTGCTGACGTTGCACCCGTAGCTTCGGACAACCTCTCCTCTAGGTAGCCTGGCGATGCGATGGCCGGCGATCCAGATGTTTTCCTGGTTTTTTTTTTAATTATTTTGGAGCCTGGCCATGATAGTATTCCTACGACGACTACCAGCTAGTACTTTTTATGTTAGGTGCTTTTATTTAATAAAGACTTAGTACTAGATTACCATAAGATTTTAGGGTCGTCACCGTAGCAGCATACTGTACTATCGTGGCAGTTAACGGGATACCTTATCATTCTCGCCCTCATTCGTCCGATAACTACTGCCCCTCCGAGTCTCAGAACAATAGTTTGTGTCTCTGGATCAGAGAGGCGGTAAAGCCTTGGTTGACGTTCGTCGACGTTGTGCAGTTATTTATTTGTTGCTGACTACTATAGAATACTAACGTATGTACCGTCCATACGTACATTCATTACATATCCCTGCCTTCCTTCCTTACTTGGTACTCACCCATACATACATATAGCGAGTGCTGCTATAGTTCCTCACAGCGCCCTGCCGATGATCTTGGAGAATTCTATCTAGGCAGGGAGAGAGGGGCAAAAAATACAAAAGTGAAACCAAAAGTCTTCCTGTTCCATCTCCTTAATTAAAAACGAGACATGTACGGAAAGTAGAGCCAAATCAACAGAAGGAGACGGCTGGCATGTTCTAGATTAAATAATAAAAAAAAAGGACCCTTTGGAGCTCTCCTATGCACTATGCATAGAGTCTAATTGATGACTGCTTCTCCACCTCTGTATGTATGTACAGTACATGTAGGATTCTGACCCATGGCGTGCCCCCTCGTTCTTATTCCAAAACGGAGGTGAAATCCTAGGCCATCATCACCATCCATCGTCATCGTCGTCGTCGTCGTCGTCGTCATCCGTCATTTCAATACCCAGCCTGCATATCGTTCCCGGCCACCAGGCATCAGGATACAGTGAATCTCACTGACCTTTTTTTTTTGGAACTTGTCAGGCTCGAGTTACGATGTTTCAAATACGCCCCGGGGCCCGATAAGAGCTTTTTTCGAGGTCTCCGTTTTCGACAACAGATGGTCTTATATAATCCAGAGAGCAACCGTCGTATCACAACGTCTGAAGTCAAGTACAGCCTTCTAGTATGGTTCCTGTCATCGTATTCTGTTCTTCCATACAGATGGTCATGAAATTGGAGAAGAGGGTACGATATTACGTCTTCCATCTCCTTAGTACAATCAATTTAGAGTATAACATATAACATAAATAAACACATATGATTCGCGAGCCTCGCCAGAAGTCTTAACGCTCCTGCAGCAACCTTTGGTGTACTTATTGGGGGCTTTGCTTTAGGGTTCAGATAAGACAACGCGAATATAAGTCGTCCTCTTGTTGTGACGGACGCACAGCCCGATACAACCAATACAGCCATACATACCCCTCGACCCATCCATATATCTGACCGACAATGTACGTATAACATTGCCGCGGGCATTTCAAAAATATCTTTTCTGGTTTCCTGATTTCTCCAGGTTTTGCATTGACAGAAAGCGGGTATTCCACTGGGGACCAAGCAACTAGTAGTAGTCATCTTGCTTTTGATCTTGTCATTCGTCATGTCCGGCAATCAGCCTCTGATCCCCGGGCAGCCAAAACTACGTTCCAGTTGCGACGGATGCGGTGCTGCGAAGGTGAAGTGTGACCGGGGCCAGCCCGAGTGCGGACGCTGCATCTCCAACGGCATACAATGCATCTACGGCGTGTCGAGGAAAATGGGAAAGCCGCCGAGGCATCGTCCAACTCTCTCCAGAGGGACTTCTACTGACCGGCCCGGTAGCACCGGAATGGGCCAGCTTGACAATGGCAGCGGCAACGCCGGCGATATCATGCAAGATGTCGAACCGTTTCTCAACGCACAGACATGTCCACGGCCTGGAATACAGTCGACGACAACCCTGCCAAACTTGCCGTCAGCCTCGATGCTTTAGACGGCTTGTATGGCAGCCTGTCAGGGTCGTCTCTCCCGACGCCAGCTCCCCACGAGCTCGGCGACTGGACCATGACGGACAGTATCCTCGCCGTGAATCTGCAGCCGGGCCCCCTGTCGACACCAGAGTCACCCTACTGGGACAGCTGCCCGTCAACGGGGCCACGACAACACCAGGCCGAGAAGAGCTCCCATCCCGACGGCGCCTCAATGTCGTCTTCAGGGACCAGCGGGAGCCACGACTGCGCAAGGGAAGCATACGAGATCCTCGAGAGCCTGTCTTTCCTCAGCCTCAGCAAGGCTCACTCGGCGACTTCGTCAAGCGCGTCCTCGTCGTCGGCCGCCGGGGGCAGTGCCAATCACGTGCCCCTGGATCATGTGCTGCGAGTCAACCGCGAGACAAGCGAGCGACTCGCCCCTCTCCTGTCCTGCTCCTGTGCCAGATCGCCGCATCTCGCATTGCTCTATGCATCGATCATCTCCCGCATTCTGGTCTGGTACCAGCAGGCCGCTAGCTGCTGCATGCAGTCTGCTCCGTGGAACCGCGCCACGTCTTCCGGCAGCGCCGTGAGTCCTGCTGGCGCCAGCTGCACCTCCGCGTCGACACAGCCGGCCGGCCCCTCGGTTGTCAAAGCGAAGATGGCAATTGGCACGTTCAACGTCGATGATCCTCGGGTCCAGACTGCCCTCGAGATTCAGCTGCTGTCCGCCGAGATGAGAAGAGCCGGCCACCTGATCGACCAATTTCTGTCACACTATTTGGGCAGCCAGGGTTCTACTGCTGAGGAATCTACTTCCTACGGTATTAAAAATTTGTATCAGAGTCTGAATTCATGGCTTAGAACCGAGCATGCAAGAATAACCCAGATGATGGCTTCCAAATTAACTGAGCTTAACACATGAATCTAGCGGTTACAAGTATAACCGATTTTTGCCTCTTCTGCACCTTTCTTTTTTCCTTTTCTTTTCTTCTTTTTTCTTTCTTCCCATTCTCATCTATTCAGGATTCTCTAGCCTGGTCTAGAAGTCTTTGACCCATGATTCCTTTTTCCCTTCTCCCCCCTCTTCCGCTTGCTAACCCCATACCTAATTGTCATCCTCCGTTCCTTTTACCTATTGAACCATGCCATTGATGTCAACCGGGATGCCTCTAAGCTCATAGCCCTCCTTGCTTGCAATCTCCCATTGTTCCTTGACAATTCGAAGCCTGTCCTCACTCCAGGGCACAAATCTCGCAGCGAAGGGCTTAGGGATGGTGAAACCGGCGTCCGGGTATGCATTTTCACTCAGGTCCATCTCGGCCTCGACACCATTTACCAGCGGTGGCCGGATTTGAAACGCCCACAGGATGTGGGATAGCGCAATGTTGAGTGAATTTTCCGCCAGGCGCGCTCCAGGACAGGTTCTCCAGCCCGTGCTGAAGGTGAAATGGTCACGCTTATACGGATTGCTCATGGCCGCGTAGTCCGAGCTGTACAGATGATGTTCAATGCATCGTTCGGGCATGAACTCAAACGGCTTCTCGAACCTCCGGGGATCGTAGTGCAAAAAGGCCGTGTTGGCAAGCAGCACGGTTCTCTTGGGGATGACGTGTCCCTTGTACATGACATCTGCGTCGGTGTAATGCCGGATGCATGGGGAGAGAATGGGGTTCATTCGGAGCATTTCTTTGACACAGGCGCGGATATAAGGCAGGTTGCTGATATCCTCGAACGTGGGCAGGCGGTTTGGCCCGACTACCCGCATGAGCTCCTCCTGGGCTTTCTCCTGTACGCGCTGGTTCGCGGCAAGGTGAAGCACGAGGCTGTTCAGCGTAGCTGCCGATGTCTCGAAACCGGCTTCGACGAGCCCGCCGGCGACCCAAGCCAAATCCTCTTCATTGAGTCCCTGGGCATACCATGACTCTCTGCGCTCGAGAATCTCGCGCGCGTAGCAGTGAGGAGCCTTTCCTTCCTCTAACTGCTTCTCCAGTCGCCGCCAGAGTCCCATCTTTATGTCCAGGACCTCCTTAGCAGCTGCTTCGGCAGTTTTCCGACCAGGCTGGAGCCACTTTGGCAGGCGAGCCAGGGGCGGCACTTCGTCGACAATGAAGGCGCCCGGCCGCGAGGTTCGCCTCAGTATTGCCTGGCTTCTCACTGCGTTCTGCGCATCCGGGTGGTCCCAACTCTTGATGCGCGTGCCGAACGTATTGGTCATGATGATGCTGAACGCGTACCGGCGCATATGATGGTAGAAGTCGCGCTGATTGTCGTTGTTGGTGGCCAGGTCGTAGAGCAATTGTTTTGCCTCGAACTCCTGGCTGGGGACAAACGTTGCCGTCATGGGCACCGTGGTGATGCGGCGCACAACGGCTCGCTGGGTGCGCCAGTGTGGTCCATAGGGCATTGTGGGCATGCGCTTGCCCCCCGTAACGATGTCGTGGCCCATGGGCGAAGGGGCCTTGGAGGACGTGTTGACGGCCTGCTTTTCGAGGATCTCCCAAACAGCTTCGGGAGTGTTGATGACCACCCAGTTGTACCAGCCGACGCGAATCTTGAAGATATCGCCATATTCCAGCGCCCACTTTCGGAAGAGCGCAGGCGCCTTGGGGGGGGAGCTTGTAGCCGACGCCAATCAACGGGTAGCCCTTGGGCCCGGGTATCGTATCCAGCCGGCGGTCACGGAACAGCCATGAGAGCAGGACGATAATGCCCAGCACTACGGCGAGCGTTGTGAATCTGTGGCTTTGGTATACAGGCAGTATTTCGTCCATCTTGATGGACGTCCAGCGAGACAAACACGAGACAACCAGAAGCCTAGTTTTGAATTTGGGCGAGCAGCACTGCTAGTAGTTAGCTAGTACTGTGTACTAGTGTACATATTTGATATTGGGACACCAGTGACAACAAAACGGCTGCGTATCCAGTTTTATATTCCAACAACCTGGAATCGAGAAAAGCCCAACTGCCACTATCTTTCTTGCTTACTTAAGATAAAACGGTCATTGGATAGGGCCCCGACGGGCCTGGTGACACTGCCTTGTTTCCTTTGTGTTGCAGATAGCCTAGATCTACACCTCTTGGCTAAGCCGAAAACACGTAGAGGGGTTCCCCAGAGATACGAAGCCCTGGCATGGGTGGCAAATAAAAAAAATACACCGACACCCGCTTTGTTACTGCAGATGGGGTTTCCATGCATGCACCATTGCACTGACACGCAGCCAGAGCGTCCAAGACGCCTTTTGGAGAACGTCCGCCGGCTCCTTCAATGGCTATAGGTAACTGTTAGTTGGTAGTAGTACTGCTAAAATGGGAAGGGGATGATCGCAATTGCAATTGCTTTTGCTTGCCTGGGACTGGGAACCGAACATCCCCGAGATGAATCCCTGCTTCGCCCCGACGTTTCGGTACCCGAATAAGGCGCTAGTAGTAGTAGTGTGGTCAACAGAACTCGGTCGTAAGCCGATATAACTCCAGCTCAGTGGTGGTCTTGATGACGACAGACGAGCAGCAGCCTTTTGCTGCTCGGTAGTCGGTCGAACAATGTACAGTACGTATGTATGTACGTACATCCATCCATACATACATACATACGAATCTCATTTCTATAAGCCCCGCGATGACTGCATGTCTTAAAACTTGGAATTAAAGACGACTGATCTATCTCTGCTTAGGCAGTGGATATGTCCGTCTATTAGAATAATAGAACAGCCAGCCTATCCTTACGATAACAACAAGAATAACTTTGTTTCCACTCCCCCCATTGCCCTACCAGATACATGATTCCACCGCAGATGTGCCATTTCAAATTATAGGCTGTCTGTGCTGTGCCAACACATCATCATAGATCAGCAGTAGCTACGTTGTCCCTCACTTCTTGCTTTTTTTTTTCCTTTGGTGGATAATTGTGCGTTCATAAGCACAGAGCAACCATGCCCAAGATATTGTGCCTCCATGGGCACGGCACGAGCGCGTCGATCTTCAAATCGCAAACGGGTAAGCAGTGCTGATTCTCTACAGAGAGTGATGTATAGTTAGTATATACTAGTTTGGGGCACTCATCTCGTTAAGAAGTTACTAGCTCTCTCTTGGTCTTTTGTCCGCTGCTAACGCAATTCGCTTTCCAACAAAACACACAGCGGCCTTCCGTGCAAAGCTCGACAAGAGTTACGTGTTCGACTTTGTCGACGCACCTTTCGCCAGCAAGCCGGCACCCGGCATTGACGCCATCTACAAGAAGGAGAAGACGTACACATGGTGGCCGCAAGCAACACCGGAGGCCATCCGCGCGGCGCACCTGTGGGTGGCCGAGTACGCGCGCGAGCACGGCCCGTACGATGCCGTGTGTTGTTTCTCCCAGGGATGCTCGCTGGCGTCGACAATGGCGTTGTACCGGGCGATCGGCTCGCCGGCAAACAGAGGCCGACCTGGGACCGAGGCCGAGGAAGAGACGCTGCCCTTCCGGGCAGCCATCTTCATCTGCGGCGGCGTGCCGCTGTCGGCGCTCGAAGACATGGGGCTCGAGGTGCCGCCGCGCGCCTACGAGATCAGCCAGCGTACAGGCCAGCTGTTGAACAGCACCGCCGGGCGCCTGACAGAGCTGGCAGCCAACCTGAAGCTGATCAGGCCCGGCGTCGGCCTTTGGGACGGCAATTTGCACGACGGCCGGCTGGTGCACGATCCCAGTGTCAGGCCGGACCCCAGCGACGTCTTCGGCCTCGACTTCACCCGCTTCCACGCCCGCGCGCGCATCACAATCCCCACGGTGCATATCTACGGTTCCAAGGACCCTAGATGGCCCGCCAGTATTCAGCTGGCCGAGTTCTGCGATGACAAGATGGAGTACGACCACGGCGGCGGTCATGATATCCCGCGCTCGACAGAGGTGTCGAACCGCATCGCGGACATGATCCGGCAGGTCATGGCCCGAATCCAACGACCCGCAGAGAGATTAGAGCCTGCAAGCCATGTGGTATTGAAGCAATCTGTCGATGTGCGTACCGGTCAGCCGGCCGTTAGTGTCTAGGACACTAGGATTTGTAGTTTGGTTACGTCATTTCAACTTCGGTGTATATAGTTAGATTTCATACCAGTAATGTGCGCATGCCTAGAGTCGTTCCTTATTTTTTTTTGTTTGTTCTCAAAGAGGAGAAGGCAATAGCTAGCATGAAGAGCTCTGGCAGTGTTTTTCATATCCAGGGACACGAACAGGATTAGGGTTTTGTTGCACAAAGCAACCCAATTAACTACCATTCGCAGGTTTTTTTTATAGCATACTATCACATAAAAAAAGGAAAGGAAGGGAAAGGAAAGTCCACGATATTAGGTTCACTGAATTCTGAAATTAGTCATGTTAGAACGTATAGCCAACAGCCCGCTAGTCGGAGATGGCAGGCTGCTTTATATATCCAAAACAGGTAACTAATTCCCGATTCGGACTCCGCTTTACCGGATTCAGATCGCGACGACGTTAGTAGTTAGGGCTTTGAGGTTCCAACCATCTAACTATTAATCTAACTTATATGAATGGCTTTTACAGGATTTGGAAATATTCAGTTCGCTTTTTTATTTTTCATTTTTCAGTGTTTGAACATAGGAAACAAAGAAGCTTCATGGATGTGATCTCATAAGCTAAAGAAGGGAAAAGAGAAAGAGAGAGAAAGATGAAAGAAGTCCATTTTCATTTCTTTTCCAAACTCTGCGCTATGATCCCCTTTCAGGATGAGATCGGGTGTTTTGTTAACAGATGGACTGTTCTGTTTGCATCAAGCAGCATGCAATCTGCCCGGTGCTATGAGTACATCATAACCCTAAAGAAACCCCGCACCATGCAAGGCCAGATTTTCTCTCTCTCTTCTCCCTCCATACAAAGAATCACAATAAAATAAAAGAAAATAATAGAAAAAACACCGCATCCATGCTACTCCCCATGCAGTCATGCCACCCCACTCATTCACCTCAATCCCAATCATAGATCTCTCCCTGGCATCTCCTTCATCCCCAGCAGCAGATAGAAAGCAGCTGCTGGCCCGGCTCTACGACGCACTCACGAGAGTCGGTTTTCTCTATGTATCCAACCACGGCGTGACCCCGCAAGTCATCGCAGACCTGGTCGATGCCCTGCCGCGATTGTTCTCCGTGTCCGACACGGCAAAGGCAGAAATCGCATTGCACAACTCGCCGCATTTCCTGGGGTATTCCAGCGTCGGCGCCGAAACTACCGCCGGCAGGACCGATTGGAGAGAATAAGTTGAGTTTGCCACAGAGCTGGACGCTGTCTGGACGCCGGAGAACGGATTTCCGCTGTATGAGCGATTAGAGAGGCCTAATTAGGTAGGTGTACCTGATATACTCTGATTCCATTCGGTCACCATCTAGGACTATGCCCCCGCCTTAGTCCTTTTTTTAAAAAAAAATTTCTGGAATCAAAATGCTAACAAACAATGTACCCAGTGGCCGTCCGAATACCCCCAGCTGCGGGCAATCGTCGAGAGATATCCATGAGCTGACGGCTCTGGGCGAGCGCTTCCTGCGTCTCGCCGCCGAAGCACTGTCACTGCCGCCCGAGACCTTTTTCTCGTTTCTGCCGGAGCAGCATCGCCTGAAGCTTGCGCATTATCCGGCAGCGTCCAGCAGCAGCGCCCCAGCGCGGACGGAACAGGGAGTCGGCCCGCACAAGACTCGTCCGGCTGGTGGACGTTTCTGCTGCAGGCGTCGCCGCCCGACATCAAAGGCTTGCAGGCCCTCAACCGCGACGGTCAGTGGATCGACGTGCCCAATATCCCCGGTACGTTTGTGGTGAACATCGGCCAGGCGTTCGAAGTCGTCACAACGGCTTGTGCAAGGCGACGGTGCATCGCGTGCTCTCAGGTCCTCGCGAGAGGTACAGTGTCCCATTTTTCCAGGGCGTCAGGGGCAGTTTGACCAAGGCCGAGGCCGTCGGCTCGTTGAAGGAGTATTTTGCGACCCTGCTGAATGACCAAGCCCTTCGTCGCAGTGATCCCACTACTCCCACTTCTAATACTACTAGCTCTGCGGCAGAAGAGGAGATCGATTCGCCGTTTCTCCGTGGAAAGTACGATACTTGGGGCGAGTCGTAGTTGAGGACAAAAATCAGATCGCATCGTGACGTCGGGAAAAAGTTCTATGGCCATGTCTATGACAAGTATGTCAAGGATGATCAATGACTTGTATATGTATATATATACAACTATGTCTGGATCGGCATGAAAACAACAAAAGGTACTAACTGTATCTGAGAACACACACACACACACAAAAAGAAAAAAGAAGAAGAAGAAGAAAAAGAAAAAAGAAAAAGATTTCCTTGCATGCCTTGAATGAAAATCCATATGAGGAAATTGAAAATCACTGCGGCTTTTGATGCTTCCGAATTTGATGGGATGCTGCAGATTCTTAGAATACACACACCGTTCAACAATATACAAGAGCAAGAAAGGAAAAGAAGGAGGAGGGGGGGGGGGAAGGAAACTTTTTATTCTTGATTCCTACCACTAGCGGTCACGGGAATAATTAAGCAGGCCTGTGGAAAGTGTCTAGGAGAACTTTAAACATGCTGCACGCGCAAGCAGCTGTTCATAATGTAACTATGTATGTACACAGATTGGGAGTATGGCTGCTTCACTCCTGAACAGTCATCCCCCTCACATATATGTAACTATATACGATCAAAGAATACTCCTTCTGACCATGGGATACCACATCCTCTAGAAGCGTAGTGGCTCTTGCTTGGGTGCCGTCTGGGCAACCTGCTCGATCCTCTCCAGAATCTCGGGGGTCAGTCGCTTCGCAACCTCCAGAGCCTTGACGTTCTCGTAAATTTGCTCGGGCCGCGAGGCACCAGTGATCAGCGAAGACACATTTGGATTCTTGAGTGCCCATGCAAGAGCTAGCTGGGCAAGAGTGGCGTTCAGCTCCTCGGCGATAGGCTTGAGATTGGCCACTACTGCCAGGTCCCTTTGCCACGTCTCGTTGCCAAACGTCTTGGCAAAGTTGGTAATGAATTCGTTCTTGCCGTCGCCCTCGGCCAGGCGTGACCCCGGCGGCGGCGCCTCGACATCGTTGTACTTGCCAGTCAGGATGCCTTGCTTCAGGGGCGAGAACACTGTCAGGCCGAGGCTGTGCTCGGCGTACAGCCAGCGGTATTCATTCTCAACCCGGTCGCGCACAAGCAAGTTGCACTGAGGCTGCTCGACAACAGGCCCGATCAGGCCCAGCTTATCCGCTACGCGCCAGGCCTCGGCGATCTCACTGGCGGACCATTCCGAGGTGCCCCAGTAAAAGGCCTTGCCTTGGTCAATGACATGGTTGAATGCCCGGACGATTTCCTCCATGGGCGTGTGGCGATCAGGACGATGCGCATAGACATTGTCAACATACGGCAGGTCCAGTCGTTTCAGGGACAGGTTGAGACCCTCCAGACGTGCTTACGGGAGAGACCTCTGTTGTTGAGAGGATTCTGGGGGTCCCGGGCATTGGCATGGCCAAAGTAAATCTGTGGAATCCCATAAGCATCATAACACAAGCTGAGACGGTTCCCTGATTTAAGAAAATCCGTACCTTGGTCGAAATAACCCAAGTCCTGCTGCTTCCAGCCAAACTTCTTGATTGCCTTGCCCATGACGATCTCGGATGCGCCGCCCTCGTACCCCTCGGCCGTGTCAAAGAAATTAATTCCGGCATCGTAAGCGGCTTTCATGCACGCATAGGTTCTTTCTGGCGTTGTGTCAGCGTGACCATCGTCGCTACTAGTGCTGCTAGACCTCCATGAAGCAAGAGGAAATCATTACCATCGTCCACGAGCCCGCCGTAAGTCAGCCACCCTCCGAGCGAAATGACCGAGACCTTGAGGCCGGTCTTTCCCAGAAAGCGGTATTCCATCGGGGGCAGATTCTCAGCCATTCTCTTCGAGGTTTCTAGACGAGGCGTATAGTACACAATGCTTTCCTCCGGCTTGGGAACGAGATGGACAGATGGGAAGAGGTCCTAAACAGTGAAAGAAGGGGTCGGAAAGGTGAGGAAGCAAGATGGGACCACCAGCGCGAGCAAGCAGCGATATCCGGGAACTTGTTTCACCTGCCGCCGTGTCGATGTGCAATGACACCATCGGACTAATCATCGACACATCCTGCTCATGAACTGTATAGGCAGCTGGAGCGGGGCATCCTGAGGCACCCCTCACACGAGAGGAGGAGAATCAGCGGAATGTCGTCAAACAGCGTCACCTGCCTCCACAACAACAGACAGGAAAGTCTCTCCTGCAGAAGATCACAGAACTGGACCTCATTGGAGCCGCTCTACTCTTTCCGGCCGTTGTCTGTCTCCTTCTCGCTCTGCAATGGGGCGGCAACCAATACCCCTGGAACAGCTCCCGCATCATTGGCCTCTTCATCGGCTTCGGCCTGATCGCCATCCTTTTTATCATCTCCCAAGTCTGGTTCGGCGACAAAGCCACCCTGCCACCGCGAATCATGAAAAAGCGAACAGTGGCCGCCATATGCTCCTTGGTGCTCTTCTTTGGCGGCGCCTTCTTCCTGCTCATGTATTACCTTCCCATCTTCTTCCAGAGTGTCAAGAACTCGTCGGCCACCGAATCGGGAATTAACCTGCTCCCGATCCTGCTCTCGTCAGTCATCTCGTCCATTCTCATGGGTGTTCTCGTCACTGCCTTTGGGTACTACGCGCCGTTCTTGATCCTCAGCATGTCACTCTTTTGCATTGGCGCCGGTCTACTGACCATGTACACCGTCGATATATCAAACGGGAAATGGATTGGATACCAGATCCTGGCCGGTGCCGGTGTTGGGGCGGGCTTCCAGGTCCCGATGACAGCCATACAGACAGTCCTATCCCAGGATGACATCCCCATCGGCTCTGCGGCTGTGTTCTTCTTCCAGAATCTCGGCGGTACGCTCTTCGTTTCTGTTGGCCAGTCTATCTTTCAGAACGGGCTGGTGCGGTATGAAGTTACCACCCAGCTCGTAGTAGGTGTCGAGTAGCTCAAAGGCCATCTCCTTGGTACATTCACCCATTATGCCCTGCCAGGCATTTCCCAGACCTGCACATCGTCAGTCCTGGACTCGACACATGACTGGAGGAGGAAGGGACATACTCATGCCGCCCAAGGAGAGCGGGCTGACCCGGCCGAGGCCGAGGGGGCCAGCAGACGGTGCCTGCCAAGCAGGGACTTGGGAAGAGGCGCGGGAAATCCAGCCATGGTATCGTCGTGGTGGTTGTGAGATTGGAGGGGGATTCTTGCGTGCGATACGAAGGTCAGAGCTCAGGAAGCAGCTTCACAGGAGGGTAATATAGCTAGCCCTTCGTGGTAATCCGCCGGTGGATTGCCTATCTAGGGCATTAAGAATCGGGGATGCCCTCAAACCGCAATTTGTAAGCAGTGTTCAGCCCTAAACCAGTCGGCATCACGGGCCGGGCCGGACTTAAAAGATCCATTTCTCGCTGTTAATCGTTAACTCCACTGGATCTATCGGGGCATTTCTGGTTGGTGGGCCTGATCCCCGCATCTCACCTACTATACCTCCTAGTTAGTAGCACGTAGGAAGGCCTGGGATTCGCTCTACGTGTGATTGTCAAGCTTAGGATCCAAGCTTATCGGGCATCTGCTGGTGCCCCGCTCGTCTGACTCCGATGCTTCGATTCGCTCCCCGATGTGCCTGGCAGTCTAATAAGACAGCCAAGCAGTAACAACACTAAAAGCACCATGCCACTGGTGTCTGTATAAGCATGAATTATGCATACACATAACCCTAACAGCACCCCAGCTTCTCATAATATAATTAGTAGCCTGATAGCCCAGAATCAGGCTCCCGACTCCGGAGACTATCCATCCGTCACCATGTAGGCCTTGAGATCCATGCCTGGACCGTGTGATGTGAGGTCCTCACTGGCATCCAACCGTCTCCAAACAATGATATATTAGCCTCTCTCGCATTTCTTTGTCTGATGGCAATGGATGTCTCAGCTTCTTTGTCTCCATGGTTAACCCCGATGGTGCTGACTAATGGACCGTGAGCGGTTAGCCCTAACGCTTAATATCCACATGGAACGGATTCAGGATTCGATATACGTATATATATATATATACAATTCTAAAAAAAGAAAAAAAAATAAGCTTACGTTTAATGACCTAATTAAGCTTCCCCAGAATACGGTATATGCATCCACGTGGTACAGTCATTGCTATTGCTGTCATCATGCATGAACTTATGCTTGTTAGGCCTCTGCCTAAAGATACTCTCCATAGTAGCTATAGGGATCTCCGATAAAGCTGATCCTTCTATAGCATAAGATCCTTTCCTGTTTTACATGCCATTTGGTATATAACTTTTTATTCCGTCCGTCTAACCTATATATCCACCACTATTTATGTGCACAATGCAACAAACCCACCCTGTCCAGTCGGTCATATTTCATTCCGTTTCGTTTTAATTTTCATGCCATATAACAAATCTAGGATCATGTCTCGTAGGTCCGATGACGAAAATAGAAAAGAAATCAGGTGGAAATAAAAGAAAATGAGACAAAATTGGCTCAAAATTGGCTCATTGAATGCCTTTTTCTTATTTACCTCCTCTTGGTAGTGTTCACCAATCTCTTCTTGATGTGCTTGGGCATTTTCTTCGCGCGCTGCTCGCGCTTTTCCTCCTTCACCTGGCGTTTGTGTTGCCGCTTGGCTTCCTTGTCCTCGAATGTCTTCCCGCGGGGCTTCTTCTTCGCGAAGGGATCGGCAGCACCGGTGGCATCTCCTTCTCCTGCTTCTTCTGCTTCCGATTCAGAGCCGTCCTCCGACCCCGATATGCTGCCGCACTTGTCCGATTCTCTTTCTTCCTCGATACCGGGTTCTCCGGAGACCTGTGGTCCAGCTTTGTCGGCAAGAAGATCACGGTAGACTAGGTCGTCTCCCTGGCCACTACGCAGCTTCTCCGCGTCCCGTTCGGCGTTGTTGACTTGCTCTAGAGTCTGCGGTATGTATTGCTGACGGAAGACCGCGGCGTCGACCTCGCCAGATTTCTTCAGCTTCGAATTCTTGTAATTAGGAACATGAATTTACTTCGTTTTTGACTGAGCCGTCACACAGAGGCCCATAATCGAGATTCACGTGGATGAATGGACTGAGAACTAGTGTAGGCTAGTTAGAGGACTTGCCAACCAGGTTTATTCTGTGTTAACTCCGTGCATGGGTATAGATACCTCGTAGCTAACTAGATTAGCATGACTTACCTACGTACCTAGGTAGCCGTCATCTGCTGGGTTATGCTGCCATGTAATGTACATATGTCACTAGAACGGGTGGTTATGCTACTCCTGGTATGTGACTCGAGTGTTGCATTTAGCTCTGTACAAATTGCTCCTCGACACAATGGATCAGTGTCCCGACGGTCTATCAAGGCGTATGGATCAGTGAGAAATCTTCAAGAGTCAAAGGAGAAGCGTCTATGGGCTTCAGAATCTAGAATTCTTATATCTGATGAAGGTATGTCCCAGTCTGATCTTTTCTACATAACCCACTTGGGATGCAACATATTATTATTAGAAGGGGTGCGAATTCCGGTAAAGAACTCGTCCTTCCGTATGAGAATAACTTCTAATACTGCAGGCAGCCAGATGGAAAAACGCGCCTGAACTAAACCTCAATGCGTTGGCTCGCGCATTGTTGTTGTTACCTACCTAGGTATTATTGTCCATGAGTCGGAGAGTCCATTCACTCGTGAAGACATTGTTTGCAGAGCCCTACTTGACCTCTCCCTTGTACACTATTCTTAGAAATGCTTCGCGAATCGTTGTGCCAGCGTCTCCTAGCTGGCTTGTCTCCTTTCATTCATGCCTTTGAATGACAGTCGGCACATTTGCCGCTTGTCCGGGCCAAAATGTCGCTTGAGGAACTGGATCGATTATGTCGGCTGATAGAGCAAGAGTGACAACAACGCGAGGAAGAGCAACAATGCTGTGAGGAGACTGGACAGTGAGATATGATAGAACTAAGCACAGTACATGACCTTCTAGACAGATGCCACAAGCTCTTCTTAATAATCAGCATTAAAAGAACTGCGATTTTAATGACTTAAGAATATTCTGTGAAGCCTATTAATAAGATCTATCCCAGATATATTCTTTTATGGTGTGAGTTCCTTAATATATAGCAAAGAATATGGGATCAGCTTAATATAGAACCCACTTTTATCTTTTAATATATCTTTCTGTCGCCAAATTAATTAGATTATATATGTAGCTATATTAAAATAATCTACTTAGCTAATTCCTTTTAATCTTTTAAATGCAATATAGTCTAGAACTTTATAAAAGACATTATCTAAGCATAAGTCCTTTTAGCGACGATTCAGGCTTACTGGTCGCGTGACAGAGACCTCCTTTGAGGAGGCAGTGAAAGTATCAAGACCTTTCGACGAAGGTAATATTGGTTTGATTCATTCTATCCACTCTATCAGAAAAGGAGCAGAATCGACGAGGAAGGGAAGAAGAAAAATATTAAGGAGGGAGGAAGGTGAGGATGAAGAGGATATCGGGAGCGGCGGAGGTGAGGCAAAAGCGGCAGGCTGCATGCGCTAATCCGGAAGGAGGCAACTTCAGATCTCCCGATAGCTACCTAGGTAGTCTGTGAGTGAAGCTATCTACTCCGTACTCTGGAGGTGGCCGTGCGGGCGGTGGCGGCCTAAACAAGTCGAGACTGATGCCGGGCGCCTCAGGCATCCACATTAATTACTCCGTATAAAAGCCACTGTGAGCTGATGCATTGAAATAAGATGATGCGCCAGTAGATGACATTCTCTGACCACCGCCTGGTCCCAATCCTAGGCCGGCCCCGACCAGACGTGCCGGCAGTGTTCATATTACCCAATCAGGCAATTAGTCTCTTTTGCGTGCAATCACGTGAGGTCGATACACCGACTTCTTCGTCCAATGCAGCAACTCTACCTACTGCAATCCAAAGAATCAATCCGACGATAAGGATTAACGGCTAATGACCGCCTTGTGTCACAACCATGTGGACATGCGCATGCACTGTCGTCGCCCAGTCGGCAGTCGGTCGGTCGGTCGCGCTCGGAAGGAATCCCGACTTGCTGTTGCTAATATTATTCCAGCCCAACCAGAAAGAAAAAAAAATACGAGCCACGATAATAATGGACGATAATAATGCCCCTGGTCGGACTTGCCGATGGATGGATGCACGGATGGATCGATGCTACTCTAGACCGCACGAATACGTTCGTTTTTTTTTTGCCATTTTTTCCGATCATCGGATACAACCTGCCAGCGACGGGCTTTACACACGGATTATTTTCCGAGATTGAACGATAAGGTTGAATTCAATTGAATAGTAACACTGCATCCCTGTCAGGATTTTTTTTTCTTTTCGATTTTAATTCTGACTCACTTATCGCTGATTGTTTCACGCCGAGATCGTTCTTTGTCTCGGTTTCTGCCCTATGGCGATCGACTTGCTACCCAAGTCCCTGCGTTATCTGATTAGCGACAGACAGCGGTCAAAGAGAAGTGTGGACACTGGACACACTATTGACTTTTTTTTCTTGGATTTTATTTTTGTCTGGCTGCTTGCTGACCGACTGACGGATTGACGGTGGCGAGATATGTATTTTTATCTCTCTTCTCTGTGCTTTTACTCTGGTTGTTCTTTCCTTGCTTGCTTACTTGCTTGTCAATTATATACAATCCAAACAAACAAACAAAGATTCACTCTGCAAATTGCATTGCTTGTCTTTACTTCACTCTCGTGGAGCTTTCCCCTTTTGTATAGTCTGAAATGCGTCAAATGCGTCTCTTCTGATTGGACAATCCGACACCATGGCTACATCTGGAGACGATTCTTCTTCTTATGACTCAGTCGTCACAACGCGAGAGCCGTCACAACACGATCATCATGGCGACGGCGACTGCGAGGTCGAGAAAGGAAATGGGCTGGAGAAGTCGCTGTCGCAGCGCACTCATCCAGCACCGACATCCGAAAATCCCCTCGACCTCGTGCAGAGCCATATCTCGCACCAGGACATGCATGCCACCACGACCATCGCATACCGCGAGGACAATGCGGAGCAGTACCTGCGGTTCTCGCCTGCCCGTAAGGTGGTCATTGTGATTATCGTCTCGTTCTGCTCCTTCCTGGCCCCGATCTCATCCACGTCCATTCTCTCGGCCGTGCCCGAGGTGGCTGCCACCTACAACACGACTGGCAGCATGGTCAATGCCAGCAATGCCATCTATATGTTCTCCATGGGACTGGCGGCGACGTTCTGGGGGCCTTTGAGCCAGGTCTGGGGTCGTCGTCCTGTAAGTTTGCTATCAATCCTCACCCCGGCTACTATCGCTTGATGGAGGCAACGCCCAAGCTAATGTGTATGACTTTAGATCTGCATCACCAGTGCAGCCTTGTTCTTCATATTCAGCATCGCCACTGCATTAGCCCCCAATCTGGCTTCTTACTTCGTCTTCCGCGCCATCACCGCGTTCCCTGGCACGTCATTCTTGGTCGTGGGCAGTGCTGCCATTGGCGATATCTACGAGCCTACGGCCCGGGCGACAGCATTGGGGTGGTTCCTGTCAGGGACGCTGATCGGTCCTGCATTTGGGCCTTTTATCGGTGTATGTAGATAGCAGTCTCCCTATTAGAAAAAAAAACCCTTCGGCCTTCTGACTTCTTCTAGGGCGTCATCGTCACATTCCGCTCATGGCGTGTCATCTTCTGGCTGCAGAGTGCTTTGGCCGGCCTGGCCCTGGCCATGGTGCTCGTGCTCTTCCCCGAGACTATCCCACACAAGAGCATCTCAGACCTGGCCGACCTGTCGCCCTGGCAGAAGGCGCGTGCTGTCTGGGACCGCATCTCACCCATCCGGGTCGTCGTCATGCTCTTCTCATACCCCAACCTGTTCTTCGCCGGCGTCGCCTCCGGCTCACTTGTCTGGAACCAGTACTCGCTGCTGACGCCCATCCGATATGTGCTCAACCCGCGCTTCCACCTGACCTCGCCCATCGAGTCCGGACTCTTCTACATCGCCCCCGGCTGTGGCTACCTGGTGGGCACGCTTTTCGGCGGCCGGTGGGCGGACTACATCGTCAAGCGGTGGATCCGCAAGCGCAACGGGGTGCGCGTGCCAGAGGACCGGCTGAAGTCATGCCTCGTGTTCCTGGGCGTAGTCGTGCCGGGCTGGGTGCTGATCTACGGTTGGACGGTGGACAAGGCTGTAGGGGGTATCCCCGTGCCCGTGCTGGCCATGTTCCTTCAGGGCGTCGCGCAGCTATTCTGCTTCCCGAGCCTGAACACCTACTGCCTGGACGTGATGCAGTCCAAGGGCCGCAGTGCCGAGGTCGTCGCAGGGAACTACCTCTTCAGGTACGCCTTCGCGGCACTGGGAACGGGCGTCGTCCTGCCAGCCATCGAGGCCATCGGCGTCGGCTGGTTCAGCACGATCAGTGCACTGTTCCTCGTGTCAGCAGGAGGACTGATGTGGCTGACGACGATATTCGGGGCGCAATGGCGACACAAAGTCGAGGAGAGGAACAGTCGAAAGAAGGCTTTGAACTGATGAACTCGCTTACCAGCTAGTGCTTCTTCTCCTTTCTTCTCCTTTCTTCTTCTCTTTTTTTTTTTCCCTCCTTTTTTTTTAACTTCTTTAATTACATACGATCTCACGGAGAAAATGAGGTAATGAGGTAACGAACGAACGAATCCACGGCAGTCGGGATATTCATAATATCAATATTGATAGATAGATAGGAGGGAAATGGAAAGGAAAAAGTGTGTAATATAATACATATTACACTAATAAATAATAATAGAGTGATAGATAGAGTAGAATAGAACAGAACTCTTTCGGCTTCATGTGCAACATCTTTCATTCTTCTCTCTCTTTGGTCTCTTTTCTTTTTTTTTTCGAATTACATAGGGTATCATTGGTATCATTTATTACCTACATACCTACTTCCCACTTATAAAAGAATGGTGACTGACTCACTCAGGATTGACTGGGTGGGTCTTTTTTTTTTTGAGAGTATCTATCTATCTATATACCCTTTCACCTCTTTTTCCCCTTTCTTTTTTTTAAAAAAAAATCAATCCATTTCTATCCTGCTTCTTTCTTATTTTCTTTTTTTCTGTTTCTCATTCTCCTTTTTTCTTGTTGCTCTTTTTGTGATGGATGTGGCTTCTATGCTATGATATATCTTTCTGTCTGTCTGTCTATCTCATATATACTATATCCATAAATATTCGTATGAATTCAAGTTGCTTGCTTATTCAAACGGCCGATCTTGAGAACAGTTCATGTCAAGAGCTCTTACTGCTTCACCATCGCTACTAATTCATCGTATTCGCCTGTGTTGCGGAGCATGTCGCAGAAGATGCCTTTCCGCTCGATCAATTCTGCTGGGGAACCGATCCTGGAAGTTAAATCAGACATGTGGTTAGCTTGTTGCTCTTACTCTCTACAGGGTTGTGTTGGATGTGTTGGTCTTACTCGAGAATCTCACCACCCCCCATGACGATCACACGGTCATAATCAATGATCGTCCGCAGCCGGTGCGCGATCGCGATGATGGTCGAGTCCGGGAATTCGGACCGGATGAGCCGCTGGATGTGTGCATCTGTCCGCTGGTCTACCGACGCGGTCGCCTCGTCTAGCAGAACGACTTTGGACCGCCGGCTGATGGCCCGCGCCAGGCCGAGGATTTGTCGCTGGCCCTGGCTGAAGTTCTCGCCGTTGGCCGCCACGGGTGTGTCCAGACTGAGTGTCGTACTGCCTTGGTCCTGCGTGGCGTTATCGCCGTTGTTATTCCCAACGTGAATGGCTGCACATGCAGACAATGCCGACTGCAGCTCCGTCTCACTCAACTCGCCAAACGGGTCGAGATTCGACTGGATGTCGCCCGAAAACAAGACCGGTTCTTGCGGGATGAGGCTGATGCTCGTACGCAGCCGATTCAGCGGGATCGTGTTGATGTCGATGCCGTCGATCGTCACTTTGCCCGAGACGATTTCTGTAAATCGCAGCAAGGACAGACCCAGCGTGCTTTTCCCGCTGCCTGTCCGGCCCACAATGGCAATGCGCTCGCCGGGTGACGCGACGAAGTTGACGTTCCGCAACACGTCCGGACCATCGGGATGATAGCGAACGGTGAGGTTATGAAACTCGACCTGGCCGGATGTTGGCCAATGGGCCGGGGGAAGAGATGTAGCTTGTTGTCGGCCGTTGGCCTGGCTCTCTTCCGGCTCGATGTCGGCGTACTCTCTAATCCGCTGAAACGAGTTCAGCTCGACTTCTAACTCGTTCATCGTTCGTACGAGGATCAGGATGCTCTGACTCATGCCAATTGCGTTCGCGAGGGAGAATCCGACCAGACCGGCCGGTCCTGACTGCGTGTATGCCAGGAAGCCCGCGATGGATGCTACGGACGCAGCACACAGGTCTGAACGGACAGAGACCCAACGGTTGCAGTTATATTGTGCCTCAGCCGCCCGCGAATGCACGGCCAGCCTGTCTGCCAACAGCTTCTGGAACATATCGTCCATGCCGTCGCGCGCCCGGATCACGGTCATGCCCGCCAGAGTATCCGTGAAGTGGGTGAATACCGGCGAGTAGTTGACTGCGCATAGCCTCTTGATCGAGACTTGAGCCCGCGTGTACATCTCCCCGATGACGAACCCGATGCTGCATATAACGACTGCAGGAACGGCAAAGATGGGCATAACGGAGGCGACACTCGCGATACGCAGAAGCAAACGCAGTCCGTTGCTGATAGACTGTCGAAGCCATTCGACCAAGACCATATCCATAGACCGCGTGTCGTTACCAAATCGGTTGATTGCCCGGCCGACCGGATTCTTGTCAAACCAAGAGATGGGTGCAGATAGTATAGCGTGGACAAGCTGCGAGTGCATCTTCTTTGCGGCGGTCCAGCTGCCGTATTGATAAATGAGGCTGTTGAGAAACTGCAATGACAGATACGTCACGACAGCTGCCGCGTAAATAGACAGGTAGTAGCCGACGTTGGGAAAGCCGCCATCTCGTGCATACGCATCGGTCCAGATTGACAGCCAGTACGTGATAGAAAAGTAGGCTACCTGGACCGTGAACGCCGACAGGATCGCGACCAGAGCGTATGGATAGCCGCCGAAAAGAGCATATACTGGAAGGCTTAACGAATATCAGTTTCTACATATGAAGAAAAAGGGAAACATGGCTTCCCAACTTACCCAATGTCCGTGGGATGCGTCCTTTGGCAGATGTCTCCTCCACCACACGCCTGGGCGGACTGCTCTGGGGTTCTGCTGGTACGCTGGAGACGGTCACCTCGGGCACAGGTTTGGCTAGCTCCAACTCCAAGCCAGAGGGAGACTCTGATGCTGAGGATTCCGCAGTAGTTTCCTCCGAGCCAACAGTCGTGGCTACTTCGGAATCGAGCTTCGATTGCACCACTCGAATGGATGATACGGTCCCCTGGTCCAGAGTCACCACCATCTGGGCATCCTGAAGAGCTACCGGCAGATGAGTCACCAGAATCACCGTCCGTCCCGCCAACAGGCCCTTGCGAAAGCAACGGTCGTACACCAAGGTGGTCGTATGTGTGTCCAGCGCGGAGAAAATGTCATCGAGAAGCAGAGTCGATGCGCAGGAGTAGATCGCCCTCGCCAGGGAGACACGCTGTTTCTGGCCTCCAGACAGGCTCGTTCCTCGCTCGCCCACCTCGGTCAGATCGCCCGCAGGAAGCTCGTCGAGGTCCTGAGCCAGACCGCAGGCGTCAATCACGGCCTCATAACGCTTCTGGTCAAAGGCGCTGTAGAACAAGATATTTTGCCGGATGGTGTCATTCTGGAGCCAAGCAGTCTGAGGCACATACGCCACATCCCGGGGACATGTCGCGGCACCGGATTCAAGGACGGTTTCGCCCAGCAAAGAGAGCAACAAAGAGGTCTTTCCACTGCCTGTGGGGCCGGTGACCACGTTCAACTCGTTGTGGCGGAATTGAATGGACAGGTTTTGGAGCTTGAAGGCTGCGATGGGCGTGCGGCGGAAGGTTGCGTTTCGGAACTCTGGGGGACCGACAGGATGTCGCTGAATTTCCACAGCAGAATCGAAAAACCGATCCAGACGCCGGAGAGACTCGATCCCCTGCGACGCCATGCGGATCACGTTCGACGTCCAGACGGTTTGAGATCGGAGAATCTCCATGATTGACAAGGAAGTGAAGGCGACTGGAGCCTCCAGAGGCGTGTCCGTGAATAGGACGACAACGGCGAAAGTGACCAGCAAGCTGACCATGGGCAAGAAGTCTCCCGTCATGGAAATAACCGCGGTCAAAACGTTACGTTTCCAGATGCGTTGTTGCTCGACGGTTCGCAGGCTGTTGATCTTCTCCGACATGGCCGGCTCCCAGCCAAAGTACTTCAGGGTGCGGATCGAGCCGAGATACTCGGTGATTTTGGAAAGTCTCGCATCGGTGGCACGCATCACGGACCGTTGCATCTGAGATATGCGGCGAGAGACCAGAGCAGGCAGTGGCGTCATGAGAAATAGCGCCGTCACGCCGATCAAGGACGGCCAGCCCAGCATCCGGTACAGGAACGTAATGGCGATTGTGATGGAAATCGGGCCGGATACGGAGATAAAGAAGATCTCTCGCGAGTTGTAGATGGCATCGACGTCGTAGGACATGAGAGTAGTAATGTCTGCCTGTCTGTTCTTAGAAGCCTCTTCAGACGATGTCTTTGTATCTGTCTTGGTCTGGGCGACAGAGGCGTCGTAGAGATGGGAGCGCAGCGCAGTCTGATAGATTTCCTGGACCAAGGACATATTCACTCGCACGAGGAGCCTCGTAGCGGTAAAGATATACTGTTGATAGCACAGGGAGCGAATCATGGGACCGACAAAAAGCAGAAAGATCCACAGCAGCGGATGTACAATGGCATCGTGCGGGCTTCTCAGGTATCCCAGCAGGTGGAACATTGCCGTCGGAGCGATGTAGTCGAAGATGGCGACACCGGCAGCCCAGCTCACCATGATCTTGATCTCCCGATGCAGGAGTCGGCAGAGCGTGCGGAAGGTCTTGCCTTCTCGCTGGCGCTGTTTTCGAATGCCATGCAGCCATTTCAGGGGCGCATCGTAGGACGGCAACACAGGTAGATCGTCGACAGTCAGGTCTCGACGCCAGCCACGGAGAATGAGATAAGTGAGCCAGTCGTAGGAGCAGAAGAAGGAAAACCGGGAGCAGGTCTCTTCCGGAGATGCTTTTTCGTCGTCAATGGCTAACCCCTCATCGTCGCCATCTTGTTTCTCTGGCGCACGGCGAGGACGAGGGGCAATGAAAGGGATCAGGATCGTCGCGGTGAGGCAGCTCACCAGGGCCGTCTCGATGGTGGTCGGCCGGTAGTTGGCGCCGATGATAGTGATGGGCAGGAAGACTTGGACGGCAGATAGCAGCGTCGCTGCTGTCGCGAGGACATTGACATGGCAGTAGACTCGATCACGGAAAGACTCGACCTTTGACACGACGCGTGCCAGGCAGAGAGCGGTGATGTAGGCCAGGAGCAGCGATCTCTTCCAACTGCCCGACTGGCGGATGGCAACGACGCTCAGCGAGAAGGCGGCGACGGCGAAGACGATCTGGAACAAGACGTAGGGGATTGGCGTGTAGCATCGCGCTCGGGGGTCGTAGTCGAAGCTCGACGCCCCTTTGGATCTTTTCCAGCGACGCACAGCATGGCTGAACAGAAACTGGCACAACAGAATGGCCGATGACGCCACCAGAGCGACAAGATGGGGATCCCCAGTAGCAATCAAGGACGCGACGTTCCTGGTGCGGTCCTGCCACAGCCGCCTGCCTGGTCAGCACCCTTTGTATGCGAATGCGCAAAGAGAAATATGTACTCCATGCTCACCTCTGTGGCAGGGGACTGTTGTTTTCTACTGCGACTGCCCAGGAATTTTCTAATGGCGAAAAGAGGGCATGCTGGACGATTCCTGGGACGGCCTCCATTTCTACCAGTCTAGCCGCCTATCCTGACGCATGAAGCACGCCAAGTTGAGGCCTTACTAGAGAATCCCAATTAGCTGCGAGCCGGTGCCAAGTTGAGAAATAATCTGCAGAGGAAGAAGAAAGGGATTTCTTCGCTCCTCCACAGACTGGCTGAATTAATCGCTAGCCTGGCACGCGAGTGGAGTTGCATTGGCAAACCACCTTCCTGTTATTATCGACTTGTCGACTACTATCGAACAGTGGCGGTGACTCTGATCAGATTGGGATCTGGCCTGGCCAGCGTTGTATTCCTGGTTAGTTTAGTTGAATTGGCCTATGAAAGTTGAAGGAAAATGCTTGATTTAGCCTGCCGGTATAGCCGACAAACACTTCTTTATGGCGCATTTTAGTGGGGAGTGTTGCAATGCTGCGACCAGCCAAACACGATTGGCGGAAATTGCGGTTAATTTGTTTAGTTTATCTTCGTCGATAAGATATCCAACTCTATCCACCAATCAGGCGAGATATTTTATATTATTGCAGTATACAAGAGTCCTCCAGAGACACGAATGTATCTAAGTGAGTGCTTTGAGATGAGTGACTATGAGATGCTAGTCAGAGTAGCATTAGCTAAGAGCATCTTTTTCGCCTTTCTCTGGAGTTGTTGGGCGAAAAAAAGCTGCATGCGTAAGCAAACAAACCAAAGGCCGTATTATTCACGAACCAGTCTTCACTCCCTATTCAGCGAGAGTATTTATCCCAAAGTCCAGATTAAAATCTCCCCTCATACACCTTCTTCGCTTTCCCATCCACCACCTCCTTCAGAAAGGCTTCAAACGAGATGGGCTGGAAGTCCGGGTACAGCTTCCGGCCGTCCAGATAGCCCAGATACGCGGCCCGCTCGGGCTGATTGTCGCCCCGGACGAACTTGCTGTAGTTGTACTGGGCGCCGATGAGCGGAATTTTCCGCGCAAGAGAAGTGTCGTTGGGATCGAAGGTAGCTTTGAGGGAGTCGATCTGGGCGAGAAGTTCTTCGGGTGTGACCTACACATTGTTGATTAGCATACGATCGGCGGAGGAAACTTGAGGTGTCTGGCGAAGAGGATAGCTTGTATGTACATACGTGGTTGATAGGCCCGATTTTCTCTCCGGAAAGCTTCTCGACCAGCTCTGCTGCCCCTCGCTGGGTGATCAAGTCTCCGTACACAAAGACCTTCTGATTCAGGGTCCGGTCGTCTTCGATGATCAGGGCGACGTATCGACCAACGTCGCGCAAGTCCGTCACAGCGGTGGGGATGTCTGGGTCGCCGTAGAACGTTGCTGGGGACGGTGTCACCATCGCATAGTCGAGACGGCCAGAAGGCAGGCGGGGGAATGACAGCTGGTGCCAGTATCCGACGTCAATGATGGTGTAGGGAATGTACTGCTTCCAGAGGTGCTGGAAGACGGCTTCTTTCTATGGACAGAAACACATGTCAGTGTCGAGTCTTGTTCAAGCGCTTCGCCCCGGATACGCGGTCAAAAATATTATGCAAGGAAGAGGATATATACCTCATCTCGAATCACCATGATACCCCCAGACGGAGCAGCAGTCGCAAATGCGCAGGGCACAAATCGCTTGACTCCCGCCACTTTTGCTGCATCCACCAGGCGCAACTGTGCCAGATGGGCATTGGGTGCAATGGCGCTGATCACGGTGTGGATGTCGGAGAGTTTCTGAGCGATCGCCTCAACACTGTCGGTGGTGATGTCCACAACGCGAATATCGACGTTGCGGTCCCGGAGCGCTTTAACGGCCGGTTTCTCAGCCGATGAGGGGCGGACGAGGGCAGATACTTCCTAAGAAATTGTCAGTTGAAGTCGAATCAATCGCTCTGAGGAACGTGGACGTACGAATTTCCCTGCCTCCAACAGGGCATTTACAATCGACGCTCCGGTCTCTCCGGTTGCGCCAAGGACGAGGACTTTCTTCTGCGCCATAGCTATATTCAGCTCTCTCTATGTACACACTTACAATGAAGCTTCGGGGTATTGGGTAGCTACTATGTACGAGTCGAAACCGAAATAGCACGACGGATATAATTGAATTGCGCGATGCACGTGATGCATATCAATAATTCATCTTCAAATTCTAAGACATTCTATTCTGTCCCCACCATTTTTATAGATTCGGAGACATCCAAGTTGATGTGACTAGCACTGTTCGGCCGAATTCGTCCGCTTAAAAATTGCTTTGTTATTTCCTTTGAAATCCAACATGTTTGATAAAATCGCATCCAGCTAGCTGATCGATGAGGTGACTGGCCGTCCTGTCCAAGGGGTAGAGACTTCTCTTTCCTATACCTTTTTTTTTTCAGCCCTGAAGCCAATCATGTAAGTAATTACTGCCATGAATATTATATGAAGTTCAAATTCGTATCCGGATTCAATGATGCTGGCAGCTGGCGTAATGCTGTCCCTTCCCATCTCGTTGTGCGGGGTAGGTGTAGGCAATTAATAATACTCGACTTACATAACCAATGAAGTTTTGACATGTCCCTGACATCTGACATTAACTGTTTCATCTGATCCAATGACGCGATTCCATTGCAGGTTTTTAAGACTTTTCGCAATTTGTTTGTATATGTGCTAATTGCATGATGTAAGCATGCCTACAAGAACTACAGCAAGTACATATTGGAGAGGTTTTGCAAAGTTGGGAGGAACCTCAACCTGCCAAAAATGGAAGAACAGTTGCCCAAGTTTGGAAGGTGGTATCTGACTGGTGTAAACTTTAGTCTTTACAGCTGAATAACTCTCTTCAACAGTTGAAGAGACTTTCTCAACTTTTTTTTTGGGAATAGTGTGGAAAATGGCATATTCGTCCTAACTTCCAATGTTTATGATGGTGTTTGATTCTTATAAATGGTCACATGACTACTTAACTATAAAAGGTTAGTCTATTATAACACGTGATATCATGTGATTTATATACTAGTACATAAATGGTTAGTACATCTTGCAGAAAGTTGAGGTTCGTCTCAACTGTGCAAAAAACCTTCTATTCTCCCTGCAGTAAAGTACGATATATGTAGCTGCTGATCTGGGCAGCATGCCTCTTTCCCATTCCAGCTCTGAATGTTAATTGCATTCCTATTCTATAGCACCCTCCTGCTATAATGACTATGTGAGTCACAGTTGAGCAAAGATACTGAAGATCAATGAAGTCCATCGGCTTGTGAGGTTATCGAGACATCCCGTTTGCTTGAACCCACCTAACTACCGTGCGGTGCTGTTTCTTTATTTCCTCCTGGTCTGCGTCTGGTCCATTAATTTGGATATGTATCCTTTTCAAGCAGCAGTTCGACAGTCCGAAGACACCCGTTCTGTGTAACCTAGGTAATTATAAAATCAATCAAGCGATCCGTCGCGGAAAGATGCAGAGTGGCTTCTAAGGTACGCGGGCGGCAACACAGGTCAACTTGTCGACGCTCTAGGGGAAGCCTATAGAAAGAGGCTGATTGATGTCGTCTCCGTGATGATCCACTATGCCGGCCATGGATGATCCGATCCCTGTGGGCGGTGTTAGCAGACAGTTTCAGCCAACAGCCAACTTCGGCGAGATGCTTTTTTCGATGCTGCAGACAGTTCTTTAGCTTCTTGTTCTGGGAACGTGACAACATTGGGGAAGGTGCCTCAAAGATCCAAACGGCCTCGGTTCTGTCCAAGCCTTTGAGCCACCCCACGATGATTGTGGGCATACGCGGACATCATGTCGAGCTAGCCCCTGTCGTGCTCTTATCCCTGCTCCTCGCCTAGGTTGTATGTGCCATCAGTGCTGAAGATAGACAGCCGTACGACTCGTATTCGGGACGCGAAATGACATAGACGATGACGAGTCACGATGCGTATGCGGATTGTCTTGCGATGCTTATCAGTTGCTGCTGGTCAGAAGAATGGAAAGGAACCCTGTTTGGTGACCATTTTGAGACAGCACAAGGTCAAATATCTCATTTGCTGGATAAAGACTTATGACAAAAGCAAGCCTGAGCCAGTGAATGAAACATCAGATCATGTGCCTTTCTTGTCAACAGACTGCTTGGAGGACTTGCCTCCTGTCTGCATAGGGTACGACGACACCATGCCTCTTATGGATGTCCTGAGGTCCACCTGAGTGAGATAAATATCGCCTACAGGAGAGAGTTGGTACCGGACCTGGGGTCTGTAGCCCTAACAGTTAGCCATGTCGATACTCCATGCCACGCCGTCGGGGGCGCTACATTGCAGGCTCCAGGTTCGAGTCCCCCTTGACACTCACTTGTGGGTTAGAGGGGGTTTTCTTTTTTTTTCTTTCTCCTGTGTAGAGACGCGCCCCAAGGTGGATGTTTGATAGCATTCACTTCTCGTCAAGGGAGCGCGAGTTGATTTTGTTTTTAGATATTAGCTACAATTGTGAGTTTTCATTTTTCTTTTCTTCTTTTCTTCTTCTCTCTGTATCTATTTTTTTTCTTGTTGGTCCAGATGTTTCTTTTCCCTCCTCCTCTCCCTCTGGCGTTGCGATGAGATGAGATTTGCGACGCGCGCAGGCCCTAGCCCTTGGCCCTAAGCCCTACGCGGGAACTGATCTTGCTCCCTGCCTTCTACCTACCTACCTACCGATCTACCTATCTCTTTGGTACTGTCTCTGTTCAGTGCGACTTTCCCAAATAGTTCATGTTATTCTAACCCATGTGCTACCTATCTTTTTGAGAACGACCCCGCAAATCGCCTCGGTATCAAGCTTTGGTACAAACTCAAGGAGAACAATGAAGATGCGGAATTGAAAATCATGATGGTATCCGTAACACAATGAAGTTGAACTCACTAGTGGACTTCTTGGAGGGTAAGGATGATTCATAACAGAACAGCAGCCTCGGCAATTCCTCGAAAGGAATAAATATCGGGGGAGGAACCAAATATCCTATACAAGTGAATTTTATTGACAGCTTCTCCTCCCAAGCGCTGATCAACTGTTTCTGTCGTCTCGAGTAATAAGTCGATCTACTGGTTATCCATCGAGAACTTGGAGCTCGGGAAACCCTATCGTCTGTGGCCAGGGCCAGGGCCACCTTGCAAGGAAATCAATCCGAATTGAGAAGGGTCATACATAGCGATAAATGTCTTCTATTAGACATGACTAGATACCTTAGTGAACTCAAGATGACCTTGCTTTTTATATTATCCAATTTTAAGAATTTTAATATTTCAGAGTGCGGGACAATGTTACGCGCTGGGTCCAACCGTAGTCGTCGATACTTAACGATGGTGGTTAGGGAAGGATCAAGGAGTCTTCCTGACTCTATGTCGTTCACGAGCACGCGATGGTCTAACTGACCCGAGTCTCTCTTCCTTGAGATAACGGCCTACCTGGCGAAGGGCTCTTCCTCGAACGACCTTTCTCACGCAAAGGGGTCTCACAGGGACACAATAGGGGTTCTTCAGGTGGACAGATGACAACGACTAGGTCAGAGGCAACGCCTACTAGAGCTATACCGAAGTATACCACTAGTAGTAAGAAGTCTTACTGACCCCCAAAGTAAGTATCTTAGTAACAGCAGAATAACGGAGTGAATTGAGCGCGAGTAAGGAGAGACTAGATACATGAGATTGAGCTTCCTTTTATAACTTCTGTTTTGGTCCTCCATCTCCTTCCTTCCGTCGGTCCCTGTTGGACCTCCTTCTCATGGTCCATACTGGACCTCCCTTCCACGGTCCTTGTTGGACTCCTCTGCTTATCTTATCAATGGACCTTCCTAAGTCACGTGACCTTGTATGCCTAATCCTGCCAATCTTGCGGGGTAGTGTTTCATCCTGTACTGCTGTGTTGGACAGCGCTCCGTTCTGTTGGTTCGTAACAGACAATTGTGGACTGTCTAGGTCCTGAACTGTAAAGAGAGCCCCAAGCCTCAAGCTGCGCTGTGGTTCGCTCATATCAACCTTTGTAGCAGTTGTAGGGGTGTAGAGTACTATAGAAAAAGGAAATATGACACCATAGAGAGATAAAAAGAAAATAAAGAGGGCAGGATCATACCACCTTCATTAGTAAGCCTAGGCAGTCTTTCACCTTCAAGAGACAACCAGAGCAAGTTGTTAAAGGCTTGTTACTGCTGTAATGACCCTGGAGTAAGGAGTATTATGTTGTTAATAGAAAATAAGTTCTTAACAACAATGCGGGCTTAGCTCAGATGGGAGAGCGTCAGACTGAAGTCTTTCTTTAAAAAGAAAGGAAAGATTTAGTCACATATCTGAAGGTCCTGTGTTCGATCCACAGAGCTCGCATTCATGAAACAGTTATGGGTTCGATCCCGTCTGTCGTGTTCTTTTTTTTTGGTTTCAATACTCCGTACTATTTCCAGGTTCCTTTGTGGAATCAGTTGACCCGACCATACTAGTTTAGCTTCCTGACCATTCTTGGCAAAAATCATGTGACCAAATTCTCCTTGAGGACCCACACCCATTGCGTGACCTTATAAATTACAAAACATAGTATTTGAATTTCATTTCTCTAAATACTATTACCCCCTAAGGTGTCCCCCTTGGAAAAACCCCCTAGTGAACCCTCTTTAGGCACGCCCTCTAGGCACCTAGTGGCAGCAGAAATATAGTCATTAACATAGGGGGATAGGTAGTTAGTTGTGGTAGGTAGGGTTAAGAAGATAATACCAGGTAATAATGGTAAAAATTTAGTATTGGTATGAGTAATGGTCACGCAGCAGGCACGGGCCCTCCAGCTGACTCTGGTTTTGTCACGTGATTCTTGCCAAGAATTGACAGGGAGCTAAACTAGTTGGTCAGGTGGTAGGTACCTAACTCTTTATTCTTTACTTGCTGTATGATTCATTGACCTGCCAATCCATTCAAACACAGGATAGTGGCCGAGTACGGAGTAGGGAGCGCGTTGCACTGAAGTTGCAGAAGTCACCAGATCCTGGTCTGTCCCATTATGTATCCTCTTCCTCCAGGCGCAGGCCGGATTCCCAGCAAGTCGCAAAATCCTTTCTTCCCACCTCTTTTTTTTGTCTTTTTTATTTTTGGAAATTTTCAGTAACAATAAGAAAGAAGAAGGCAAAGTCTTTAGGTAAAGAAATATATAATAATATAGGAGAGGAGAAATATAAAGATAAGACTAAAATGAACAGACAAACAGGGGGCAAAGGACACCATTATATTAACTTTTTTTCTCCCTGTAGGTTGTAGGCGATGACCCACTACTACCTTTATTTTCTAATCTGTCCTCTGCATAGAGAGCACTAGGGGAGATGGTGAGAATGGTGGGTGAGCGGCTCACCTTCCTCACCCTACTCACCCTGTTAAAGTGGCAGTGTCCAAGTCAGTAGGAAAGAACAGTCTTGGAACTGCCGTGCCTACTGATCTTAAAAAAAAAAAGAAAAAAAGAAAGAAAAAGAAAAGAAGAGAAAAAAAAGAAAAGAAAGAAAAAAGAGAGAGGGAGGGAGGGAGAGAAAGAGTCTTCGTCGTACAAACTCGACAGAATTTCACATCTATACTGATGGTGCTTGTGTTGACAATGGAAGCAAGAATCCGAGAGGCGGTTGTGCCTTTGTATTCAAGCCTTCGGACCGTGGGGTGCGTGGCTATACTGCCTTTCGTCTCGAGAATAGGGGGCCGACGGGCGAGCAGTATCAACAGACGAGCAACCGAGCTGAGCTACGAGCTGTTATCGGAGCACTGCGATATCGTTGCTGGGATGGTGAAGGGTTCAGGAGTCTCGTCATCGCTACGGATTCTGAGTATATCGTAGAGGGCGCCACACGCTGGGTCAGAGGCTGGTTGCGGAATGGCTGGAGGACGAGATATGGAGCGCCCGTTAAGAACAAAGATCTCTGGCAGATACTACTTGGAGAGGCTGAACGATTGTCGGACCAAGGCTTGAAAATCCGGTTCTGGCGGATCCCGCGGGAGTGGAATACAGAAGCGGACAAGTGGGCCAAAGATGCTGCTACTAGGGCTACTAGGGCCCAATGTCTTGAGAAGTTTGCCGACATTCGTGGCTTTCTGGTTTAACGAGGTTTGAGTGGTCAACATGTGGACATATGTCGTAATGATAGATCGATACGCGAGGACTTTAAGGTGATGGTGAGGTTTAATCGATGAATTTTTCTCCTTTCGAAGGACCAGCTGGCTCTAAATGCAGACAGGGGCAGTTAAAGAAGGGACACTGAAGAGCCTGAATTGAGGCAGCTGAGAAAAAAGGAAAGAGAGTCAGATGGTCCGTCAGCCATAAAAAATACTATTGTAGTGGGAAGTCACCCCCATATTATCATGTAAACTGCATCGTCAGCACATGTCTGTAATATAGTTTTCCTCGCGGCTATGCTGCCCGGGGGGTAATCACCAATTTCTACACACAACTCAGTCATCTCCTTTCAGTCAGCCATTCAGTCCTCCTTCTTTAGCAGAGATGCCATTGAGTCCACTGAACAACCTAACCCGGTGAATCAGCATCTTACAGCGTCACAGTCCTACAGGTTTGAAAAGCAGTCCTCGCGAGAGCCTACTCCGTAAGGCAAGTCGCGCTCTGCAATTGCTTGGCCGTTCTTGCCCATTCGCCTACTTCGACGAGGCATTCCACCACCACAGTATTACGCTCACGACCAAGAAGACAGACTGCAACTATTACTCCGTAGATAACTATTTCATGGATTATTGATTCCTTCCTTCCCTATGGGCCCATAAAAACAGATCACGGCTTGTTACATGCCAATACCCCTGGTATGCTTATTTAAGAGCATGACAGAAGATATAAATATAAATATCAAAGGAAGACTCGAAAGGGTAAAATAACAAAAAGTCTGCGCAGTCAGACAATATCCATCTATCTATCCATCCCAAGACTCCCTCTCTCTCCCTCTCTCAGTGGACATGCAGGTATGTCATTTTTAGCTGTTCTAGATTATTGTTGAATGCACACACACACACAAAAGGTAAGCAGAGTGCGGATGTATGCATTTATTAATTTACGGCGTACAGCGTACTGATTATTATGCTTGATGGATGATGGGATATCCCTTGGTATCTCCGAAGAAGCAGACTTGTTTGCATAGATCCACAACATGTCTTTTCATCATGAATGAGGCTCATGTATGTAGTCTGCTTATCTCCGTCTCTTCCCCGATAGATAGGTACGAGTTTGACATTTTTTATTTTATGACTGCATTATTTTATGACTGTCTGAAGAGTCACGAATCTGACGTCATCATATTGGCATAACTTTTTTTATTTATTATAGTTTGTCTATTGAATCTGGACGCATGTATGTACTGTACAAGCTGACAGAGAATATCCATCAGCTTCCCGATCAGGGAAACAGGTAGATACATATGTTTGTGGTTGTATCGTATTAATAATGCCGGCACAATACCTCGCCATGGCGACGAATGAGGATTGCTGCCGACATGCAGCAGCAGCAGCTAGTTTAGTTTATTATCAATAATACTCCGAACTCCATATCATCACGTTCACACCGTCAGTCAGTTGCATGCGGCAAACCCTAATCGGTGCCGAATTGCCAGGCGCCAATGCACGCGGACTCGTCGCCACGGCCGCTGATTTGCTGCTTGGCTTTTAGATTCGAACGGTCGACGGTGGCGTCCGCGTGGGATAAACCTAGCACTATACTCCGTAGGAATTATGAACAAGTCCCGGTGGATAAGTTGGCAACGGCATCAGGCTGTTGGTTCTTATGCAGGGCTCTCGCTCGTCTCTTTCCAAGTGGCGGTGACTTTTCTCCTCAATTCCGCCCTCCGCCCCAAATTTTCCTGAACAAAACGGCCCGGCTGATTCGTGAGATTTAGTCCATGTAGGAGGTAATCCTGGTCCTGATAGCTCTCCTCCTCGACTCTTTGGAGTCAGAATGGTCACGATACCGACCCACTGAGCGAGCCCCATATCTCCAGACTCCAATGGAGCCTCGCGCTCTTGTCGGCTCTCTCTCCGCGGCGCAGTCAGTCTGCAGGCGTGACGAGTTGTCTCGTCACGTCAGAAACGAATGAATGACTCGGGACTCGACATTGGAGATAGTAATAACTAAGCTACCCATTCATCGGCTCCACGATCATCACTTTCGGAGCGTATCGCCGTATGCCCCGGCTGGCTGGCTGTTTAAGTCCGGCGCTAAAATGTGGATGGGACCGTGGCTAGAAGCTATTAGAGCATTCAGTCATATATAGCTATCATGCACGGACAATGTTTGCAGTTGGAGGAAGAGCTAGCTGCTTGCGTTTCTTCTGCTTTTGAAATCCTGTCGGTGGAGTCAGACAGACACTCGACTCTTCAACAGAGGGGAAGAATAGGTACACATAGCAGTACTGCCTTCGTGTCTGCTTCTTTTCTCTCTTCTGTCGGGCACTCACTACCCCCACTAAAAGCTGCCCCACGAGTGCGTATTGGGATTCGAGCTAAGAGGGAGCGCTCAGGTATGCTTTGATGCCAGTGACAGTGAACGCTGCTTGCACAGGGAAGGAGAACGATGCCATCGCTGTCGTTGGCGAAAAGCTTTGAAAGCTTGGAGATAACAGTTCCACCGGAGGTAGAGTGAGTCACGCTAAAAAAAAAAAGAAAGAAAGAGAGATGGGAAGTACTGACGTTCTCGCAGCAAAGACACAGAGGCGGCGCTGAGAGGGGAACACGCAGTCGGCAAGAGCGAGACAGTCACGGGAAGCGAATCGTCGCTGGGCGATGGAGAAAAAGCGATAGAGCATGGCAACGCCGACCTCGAGAAGGGACGCAGTGACAGCGACGGCTGCGCAGAAGACGACAGCAATCTTGTGTGGTGGGATGGCGAGCACGATCCTGCCAACCCGATGAACTGGGGCGCGCTGACGAAATGGAGTCACGTCGCCATTGTGTCCGCCATCACGTTTGTCGTGTATGTCTTCCACCGCGCTGACAACTCTCTATGTAGATGTTTTGCTGACTGACCAGACCACTGGCTTCGTCCATGTTTGCTCCCGGTGTCAACCAGGTCATGGAAGAGTTCAACACCTCCAACGATCTGCTGGCGTCTCTCGTCGTTTCGATCTACGTCCTGGGCCTGGCCTTCGGTCCGCTGGTGCTGGCGCCGGCCTCCGAAGTGTACGGCCGCTGGATCTGCTATACCGTCTGCAACGTCCTCTACGTCGTCTTCACCGTCGCCTGCGCCGTGTCTACTAATCTGCCTATGCTGATCGTCTTCCGATTCCTGGCCGGTTGCATGGGCTCGTGTCCTCTGGCGGCCGGGGGCGGAACCATTGCAGATCTGTTTTCTGTCCATCAACGAGGAACGGCTCTCTCGCTCTATACTCTGGGGCCAGTCTGTGGTCCTGCCGTTGGGCCTGTGGCCGGCGGGTTTCTGTCCCAGGCCAAAGGATGGAGGTGGATTTTCTGGGTTCTGGCCATCGCGGTATGACTGAGTCCGGTTTCCAGCCTTTCTGCCTCTGCTTCTGATGTCACTGACGTGAACTCGCAGAGCGGAGCAAATACAGTGGCCCAGATTCTGTTTTCGCGCGAAACCTACGCAGTCATCATCCTCCAACGCAAAACCGAGCGGCTGCAAAAGCAGACCGGCAACAAGCAGCTGCGGTCGAAGCTGGATCGGGGCATCTCCAGTAAAGAGGTTCTGAGGCGCGCAATTGTCCGGCCTACCCAGATGACCTTGTTTTCTCCTATCAATATCATCCTTGCCGTTTCGTCCGCCTTTGTCTACGGCGTTCTCTACCTGCTGCTCACCACCTTTCCGATGGTGTTTGGGGAGGTCTACGGCTTCTCGATGGGCATCTCCGGCCTTACCTACATCGGCCTGGGGGTGGGTAACGTTCTCGGTCTGCTGGTCTTCACCTTTACTAGCGATCGATATGTGAGCGCCCGCGTGGCCAAGGGCGAGGCCAAACCGGAAGACCGTTTGCCTCTGATGCTGGTCTCCGGACCTTTGATCGCGGCAGGTCTGTTCTGGTACGGCTGGAGCGCGCAGACCCATACGCATTGGATCGTTCCCATCATTGGCTCCGCATTGGACGGAATCGGGAACATGATGTTCTTCATGCCAATTATGGGGTATCTGGTGGATGCCTTCACCGTCTACGCGGCCTCAGCGCTGGCCGCCAACACAGTGCTGCGGTCTATCGGAGGGGCATTACTCCCGCTGGCAGGCAGGAGCATGTATCAGGCGCTAGGCTTTGGCTGGGGGAATTCCCTGCTGGCGTTCCTAACCATCGCCTTCACCCCAGCGCTGTTCCTGATCTACCGATACGGCGAAACAATCCGGTTGAAGTATCCTCTCAATCTGTAATCACATCCATGCTTTGTTCTTGTTGAATATTTCTTACATCTTTTTCTTTGAACAATTTTTTTTCTGGAACAAAGTGCATCTCTGATTCTTGCATGTCTGACGCAGGATAGCCTTTTTGGGCGGGGAGAAAAAAAAAGGGTTTCTCACATGATTCTCACATGATTCTTTATCTGAATGCTTACATATACGCATGGATATATATATAGAGCGGGTGCAAGGAGCAAAAGTACGGTGTGTTATATAGACTGGATCTTTGGATTATTCATTGGGAAAGGTATCCACTCTGCAAGCAGGGGTGAATGAATGAATATGTGAATTCCAGCTCATGATCGAATATCTATAAATATCCAGAGTTCTTCCCGGTTGTATCAGCATTTCCCATACGAAGTTTTTTTTTTTTTCGTTCTTCCTTCCTATACTATTTCCTATACTATTTCTGTCAGGCCCCCTTCTTCTTCTTTTTTTTTTTTTGATTGTTTGGTCAATTTCCCCATCACCAATGACGATATGATATGATATCACTGTGATACCTAGGTAGCCAGTCCAGTCAGTCTTGTTGACAACTGTAGACCACGCCTTGTTATCAATACAGACTTTCTTTCCGAGACGCTCATGACTTTGCACCTTCTTGTTTCCACTGGAAACAGTGCAGGAATTTTCCTTGCCTTTCTAAATCTTTTTTTTTCTAAAAAAAGGAGAGAGATCTTCAGCTCTTCTTTACAGGCATATATACCTTCATCCCATGTCATGCCAGACCATTGCATCAATCAAGTTTATCTAATGTATGTATGTACATACCTGCCCCGTTGACATGAACTGGACTGGCATTCTATTCTTCCAATCAAAGTAACTACATGTACTTTACTACAGTATACGAAATATACGATATTCAACATCCATCCTCCGACAGAGAGAGTGAGAGTGAGTGTAATCAAATCTCCCCACTCCGATACGTTTTCCACACCTGAAACCCTACTTTCGCATACCAATCGACCTTAGTCGTCCAGTCGACAAAAACCCCCTCGACCCCCCTCTTCTTCAGGTCCTCGATCGCATGGCACAGCAGCGCCAGTCCGATCCCCTTCTGTCGGTGCGCGGCGTCTACGCCCACACACCCGATCAGGCCCGTCTTCGGACCGCATAGCGCCGGCCATGCCCAGTACGCGTGCAGGAAAGAAGACTCGTGCGACAGCATCAGTGTCCAGGCTACCTGGTTGCCGGCGGCGTCGAAAGCGGCCATGATGCTTGATGGGTGCTCTCGGGGGTTGAGAGCGATGTATGCTTCGACCCAGCCCTGGACAAGCATTTGCGTCAGTATTTTTTTGGCAGAGAATTTGATATCCGTAGACCACAAGTTCAGGCTGTAACTCACTGTATATGTAAAGAAATTCCTCTTCTGCCCGATCAGGCATCCCTCATAGTCTTCTGGCTGGACAGCTCGAAACGCGTATCCCTTCGCCGCAGCACGATCGAGATACACTTGAGGAGCTTGAAAGTTGCGAATATCCTGATACAGATCTGCAGAGGTCACATCCGGCGGACTCAGTCGGAATCCACGGTGGACAAAGAATTCCAATACACGATCAGGCAGATCAGTCGGCAGACCTGGCCAGAAACGGGGGAAATAACTCCCCAGAGACGCTCTGACAAGCCCTTGATGCTGCCGGAAGTACCCCCGCGCCTCCCTCAGCAGGGACGTTCCGATCCCTTGACCCTGTCTCGCTGGGTCCACGGCCAGAACGGCAATATGGGCAAAGATCTTCCCCTGGTTCACGGACGTGTGTGCCAGGCAGAAGCCCACAATCTCGCTCTCTGCCCGTGCGACCAAGTGATGTCCATTAGGCGCTTCCAGCAAGACCTTCAGCCTCGATGCCGGCAAGGAGTAGTTCGGCAGAGCCGAGTTCCACACTTTGACCACTCCTTCTAGGTCATTCGTCGAGTCGTAAGGCCTCACGTTCACACTCGCATTCTTCTTCGACACTTTTGCTCCCACAGGAAGCTCTCCGCTCGCTGAGGCCGTGCCGAAAATCACATTTATCGCCGACGTGAACGCCTCGACCGTCGGCTCGTAGATGGCAATATACGTCTCGACCTCTGTGTCGTCCAGAAAGTCATAAGGATTGCACGTCGCAATAACAACGTGCTTCTTCTTTCTCCTTGCCAGCTCCAGGCCCAGGTTCCTCTGGTACGGTGCCTCGCGCGCATTTCGCGTGGCCAAAATCACCGCCTCCGCGTCATCGACTACCTGCCACTGGTCCGCTGACAGACCGCCATCATGATAGCGAAGTTCGATCGCAGACTCATTGTGAGCACGGAGGACATCAATAAACCGGACAGGTTTGTATGGAAGAGGGCACTTCTGCTCGATCAGTCCGCTGTCGACCGCACCGCCTGCAGGGATCATTCCTCCTGGAGAAAGGAACACGATCCTCGACGTTGCAGACAAAGGCAAAACGCCGGGTTTATTTCGTACGACAGTCGTCGATCGAGCGTAGATATCCTGTGCCAGTTTCGCGTTCTTCTCGTTCAGCTTGATTAGGTCCTCTTCCGCTTTGAGATGCAGGGCGCGTTCCCAGCTGAGAACCTTCTTCTTCAGGGCCGTCACGCGGCGTAGAGCCTCGTCAATCCGCTCCAGCGAGATCTCTCCCGATTCTACCGCCTGACAGACCCTGTCTATCGCTGCCACCTGCACCTCGTACTTGTGGCAGACCATGATGCTGTCGCTCCCTGCTTTCAGAGACATCACTGCTCCCTCCACGGTCCCGTACGTGGCACGAATGCCGTCCATCTCCAGACAGTCGGTGATGACCATCCCGTCATACTTCATGTCCACACGCAGGATGTTCAACGCATCCGGCGACAGCGTGGCAGGCAGCTTTCCATCCCCAATCCCAGGCAAGGCGATGTGAGCCGTCATCACTGACTCGATACCCTCCGCGACAGCCCGACGGAACGGCACCAGCTCGCACCTCTCCAGCTCATCCCGGGACTTGGAGATAACAGGCAGCCCGTAATGGGAGTCGACCGCTGTGTCACCATGGCCAGGGAAGTGCTTTACACTGGGGACAATGTGGCTGTCTCTGAGGCCCTTGGCGATGGCGCTCGTGAAGCGACCAACAAACTCGGGATCGTCTCCGGGACTCCGCACACCGATGACCGGGTTCAGAGGTTCCGAATTGATATCACAGTCAGGGGCATAGTTCATATTGATGCCGAAGAAATCGAGAGTCTCCCCGGTTGCCTTTCCGACCGCATAAGCACTGTCTGTTGATCCCGTCGCCCCCAGCGTCATGGGCCCCGGCTGCTGTGCAGCAAGGGGCGGTGAAATCCTCGTCACGAGTCCATTCTCCTGGTCAATGGCGATGAAGAGCGGGTGTTCGTGGCCGGCGTCTTTGGCTTCTTGCTGGAGGGCGAGGGTCAATGCCTGATGACCAAGTTAGCAGGAGGAAAATCAGTCAAAGAGACGACTGGATTGACGCACCCGAAGCTGTGCTGCATCGCGAATATTCCGCTTGAACAGGATGACGGCGCCAAGTCCGTATTCGCGGATCAGAGTCTTGATCTCCGAACTGGGCGTGAGACCGTGAAAGCCGACAGCAAAGAGCTAAAAACGCAGTCAGTCAATGCAATTCTGCCTTCCTCGTGCAGCACAATTGACGCATGGCGTGGCGTGAAGGGGAGTTTCTCTCACCTGTCCGACTTTCCTGCGCAGGGCAGAGGAGGATGGCATTGGACATAAGAGGCACACGACCCGGGCGGAGCACGGATTGTGTTTGTGGCGGTGGTGTCAGGACAGCCGTTGCAATGCTTCTGTCGACGAGCCTTTTTGTGCCAGGCTCCCTGGCAGACCTTCAATGAACCCCGCCGTCATCGAAAATCGACGGACCCACGCTGTGCTGCAAAGGTTGAGGAGGCCAGATGCAGGGCGACCCGCTAGGTATAGAACGATGCGACGGCTCCGGAAGAGCGTCAAATGGCAGCGACGCACAGGACTCGCTTTCCTGTCCAGGGACAGCTGCAGCCAGGCCAGGCACGGCACGCCGGAATCATACGGCCAGGAGACAGTATCGGGGCATGCTGGTCGACCGGAAGACGGCGAATTTCTCTGTACAAAACGGCCCTGTGTGGGATCCGCTGCTCCTGCGCAGTCAATAAGGTACCTACGTATCCGTGCTACATGGAGTTAAGCTACATACTGCATGTCGGTCCTCCGGGCACACGAGCCGTGCAGCCACATCAGCCCTAGATCTCGACCTGGATGCAGGCCCCCCCCCCCCAGAGCCGGTCAACGAGCAGGGCCATTATTCTCGTGCTGGACGAGGAATTCCAGCGCGTCGACTGAGGGCGGCGGACACGCGGGGCACTTGTCCATTGGCGATGTTCCGCGGGGCTCGCCCCTCTGCGCTCCCATTGGCGGACACGACTGCAGTGACGAAGGCGATCTACCAGTGCTGCATATCAACACCTTTTACGTGACGTGATTAAATCCATTTTATTTATTTATCGCTGCAAAGGCTAGACAGGCACAAGAGAAGGGAGCAACTCGCCATCTCCACGTTTGCAACACACATTCCATGCCGACATCGTATGACAAACGAAGAAAGCATTCACAAAGGAAAACGACTGCAAGGGCTTACGAGGTATCAAGCAACATCTTCTGTCGATATGGGCATGAGTCCGGTACGCGGTCTCCAATCATAACTCCTCCTCCTCCTGTGGCTGCGGTGCAGAAGTTGGAGCAGTGTCCATTTTATTCACGCTGCTCCCAAAATGACTGCCTGTGGTTCCGCCGACAGACGCCGTATTGGCAGCCGGATTTCCCGTGCTGCCCGAGCTGGTAGATGATCCAACACCTTCTCCAGTAGTGGCCGACGCGACTCCCGATCCCAGCCGTCTCCGCAGGTCATTTTCATCGCCACCGGAGACGCTCGATCGGGGCTTCTTCAGCGGACTTCCGACATATTCACCGGTCATCAAGTCTGGCACATGGCTCGAGGGGTCTGCAGGTCCCGAAGTAGATATATAAGGCGGCGTTGTTGAGAGACTGGTGGATGCGGGAGGCGTAGATCCTGACGCCGGGGTGTTGGAATTGGTGGCAGGATCCCCTATCGCATCTGTAGAGTGTTGACGTTTAAGCTACGTAGATATCGCCCGTTAGCGAGTGCCATGAAGAATGCTCCTCTCACGCATTTCAGGCGTACCTTGATCTTCCGCACCCCCTCCGCCAACTCGCCCTGACGCCGGATGTCGTCAGCCGTCAGATTGGTTTGCCCTTCTTTGGTCTCGTCCTCTTCCGCCTTGTTGACAACCGGGTCGTCCTCATCGTCATCGCTGTCCATATCACTCTCGTTCCCCTTTTTGGACTTCTTCCCAGACTTGTTGCTATCCCCTTCGCGGAAGTTCAAGAAACCCACTGCACCCCCGGGCTTAAGAGGGGCCAGATTGGAGAAGTCTGGTTGCAGTGACTTGCGCTTGGAGCCATCTTTTTCCGATTTGGGTTTCAAGATCCCCATCTTCTGCAATTGTCCTAAAAGTCATTGTCAGCGGGAAAAAATAAAAAAACTTAGGCAAGCAGAACGGAGAAGCACTTACGTTCCCCCCGGTACATGAACGTGAAAATCGCGTACGGCTTATCCGTAGGATCAATCCCAGTCACCGTTTGCGTGCTGATGGTCTTCGGATCTAGAGTCTTGGGCTTTGCGAAGCTGGTGGTATGATCGACATCGGCGTCCCCATTGCCGACCTGTCCGCTCGAGGACTCATCATCATCGTCATGCGCGTCAAACTGCGGCGAGTATTCTCCCCGCTTGATCTCCCCGGACGCCAGTACTCGAAACAAGGCGACTTTGATCTGACCCGCCGACTCCGGGATCGGGTCATCATCCGAATCCGACAGGGACGACAGCTCATCATCTGACACATTCTCCAGCGGTGACTTCTCGTCGTTCCCGTACCGCATGACCCCCTTTCCGCCTTTTGATGGTGCTGCGGAATCCATGTCCATCGCCCCCGTGTCTTTGTCTTGAGATTGCTTCTTTCGCCGCCGTTTCTCCATCTTCTGCCTTCTCCGCTCAATCTTAGCCGCGGCGTCCTTTCCGTCGAGGTCCAGCCCGTTCAGCCATCTCTCCAGGCCGACTTCTCGGAATAAGAACTCTCGTTCCGCCAGGCCGCCGCCTTCGGATTCCGGCACACTGACCCATCGAGAATTCACCCATGTCTCCTCGCCTCGCCGTAGCAGGGTGGCCACCTCCTCTTTCTGTCGCCCGTCAAAGTAGATGTAGGCTGCAACGGTTTCGTTCGGCGAGTTTGTCAATGGTTGGTACGGGCTAACGACATTGGTGTATTTGCCCCGTTCGCCACTCTGGCCGGGAAGTCCACCGACAATCTTAGGCTTCGGGTTGGGATTCTCCGGCGTTGGTTTCGGGGTCGAGTATGGGACGCTCTGCCCGGGATTGAGGAGAGTAATTGAAATGGCAAAGGTCGATTGTTCCGGCTTGCCAGTGGTCTCGGAGATCTTCGGCGGAGGGACGGGGATATAGCACGCGATACGAGACGCTCGGGATTGACGTTGGACCGAGTACTCGGGAAGGGGACCGTCAGGAGTGTGTATGCTAACCGCCAATCCCTTGAAGCAAGGCATGACGGTGTCCCGGCGTAGTGAAGAACGTTAGAGCCAATTTGACCCAATCAACCAGCTTCGTTTAACCACGCTGTAGGTGTTTATAGTTCGAAGATCGGGATGCGGCCGGCGTCGGACGATGGAGGATGAGAATGAGGAGAGATCTAGTTTGCTGAGGGTATGATATGGAGCACTGCTCGGGGAAGGTGGAGAAGGGGCAATGATCAAATAAACACAACGAGGAGTTCGCAGGCAAGCTTCATCTATGAGATGGTCAGAAGAAGCCAGCTTTGGATCCAACCCAGTGCGGGAAGCGATGCTTGTGATCTTGGGAAGAGGACTCAGAGGCACACACAAGAGGGAGAGACAGACATACCACGCACACACTGCAAAGTCAGAGGCCCGAGTCATGCATCCATCGGGTGGGGTGGCTGGAGAGCCAACGGCAGACAAGCTGGCTGCTACAGAAACTGATGAGCAGAGGCAAGCAACAGCAGGAAAGGAGAACGACACACTCGTATCGCCGAGAGACTCAGAGTCCAACAGAAGGGGCTGGTGAAGCGGAAATAGTGGTCAGGAGCTACCAGGCGTTGTTTCCCCGGGTTGTGGATGTGGATGATGCTCCCAGAAGGCGGTCAGGCAGTTACCTCCGACGCCTGGGCCACGTGATGCACCTTAATATTCATGCTGGCCTTCACCCCTCGCTTCGCTTCTCTCGCCAGCACGTTCTCTTTATTCTATTTATATCAATAGCTCTCATTGTCATTCTCATTGTCAGCGCCTGGCGTCGTCACAGACCACCCAGCTTGCTCTTTGCCTTTCCTGCGCACCAGTGGCTGAGGCACCTGTTTTTATTTTGGTTTCATCTCTACCTCGCCATGTGATCAAGCTAATTACAGATGAACAATACAATACAAAGTACCACATTCAGGAATTAATTAGCGGTAGAAAAAGAGGAAATAAAGAGACTGTGTGACAAAAAGGGATAGAATAAGATAAACCAATAGAGGAAAGCTACATCACTCCAGTTACTTAATGACACCCTTTGATCGTTAGTCTCATACATGTCCCTTTTACGAAACAGCCAGCTAAAGATCATTATCCGGCTTCCTGTCCAATGTCTCAACCACACGCTCCCAAATGGTGGGAGACAGAAGATCAAAGAATCACCCTGATATCTAATAGAACTACGAGAAACACAGGATGCTGCTCTTTGACATGCGTCATTCCATCTATCCATTCATCTATGATCATTCAAATTATCCCAAACTGCCTCCGCCGCAAGGTCCCAAATCCCTTCCCCCAAAAAAAAAAGGTACAGAGCCTTACAGGAGAGAAACTCGACGACTCATGGCTATCTAATCGAAACATCGTCTTCTTCCAGAGAATATACAGCGGTATGAACGGACAAAAGGAAAAACGATCAAGGTCACCTGGAGAATGCCGGAGTCTCGCCTTGAAATAATATATCTCAAGCCCTCCAGGGGAACAGGGAAATCAAATTGCAGAAAAAATAGGAACAGCAGACCAATGAGCGCGACTTCCGGGGTATCATTGGTGGAATGGGCGGGGATCTAGTTCTTCACCGTGGCAGAGACCACGCTCTGCTTGCGCACCTCGTTGCCAAACGTCTCATCCGTGGCGACGTGGTCGAAGTGATAGAGAGGCTCCAACGTGACCTTCTGACGGAGAACGTACCGCTTGAACCAGTACGGAAGAGCCTTGGTGAGCTGGTAGCGCATGTGCGTCCGGGTTGGCACGGCAAAGATGTAATCCAGCTCCTCCAAGGTGCGCTGCTTGGTTTCAGGGACCCAGAAGAAGATCATGAGCAGTGCAGTCACATTAAGACCTCTGTGAGCGGGAAGGGTCAGTCAACCTGAAGGATCAAAAAGAGCAGCCGACCTGACAACAGCTACACAAATGCCAGGCGATGGAGAAATCTATATAGGGGCGGAGGGGAACTTACGCATAGAAGCCGAAAGCACCGGTCGCGGTCATGGCGCTGAGCATACGAGGGAAGGTAATCGACAGCACCGCCGCCCAGCCAAGGCAAGTAGCCACAGCCCAAGACATTCCAACCTCTGGAATTCATTCATGGTCAGCTACTGAAGAACCACCAACTCTCGGAGGGGAGGGACTACATACCACGATGCGACAGGGGGAAAACCTCGGCCGAGTAAGTGTACGGGACGGGGCCTTCACCGGGGGAGTAAAATGCGGCGAACAGGAAAACAAAGAAGGCCACCGAGCCGAGTTGAGCTTTTTCGCCCTTGACGAAAAAGCAAAAGCCGGCTGCCAGCAGCGTCCACGCCATCTGCGGGAAGGTGAACAGAAGCAGCGCGCGACGGCCGTAGGTGTCGATCGTCCACACGGCTGGGAAGGCAAAAAGGAAGTTCACCAGACCGAAGCCCCAGGAAGCCAGAAGCGCGCCCGTGACGCTCGCGCCAGCGTCGGCGAAGACGGTGGAGGAATAGAAGGCGACGATGTTGATGCCGCACATCTGCTGGGCAATCATCACGGTGAACGATGCCAACGTGGCGCGGCGGACTCGAGGAATTGTGAACAGCTGAATGAAACGGGTGAGATAGTTGCTCTCGCCGGCGAGCTCCTGCTCGATTTTGACCTGCGCGTAGATATAGTAGAGATCCCGGGCCGCCTGGAGCTCCGTGTTGCGCAGACGGCAGAGCGATTGGTATGCCTTGGCGATTTTGCCCTTCTTGATATACCAACGAGGGGACTCGGGACAGAGGTACACGCCAAGCAGCAGCGGGACGGCCGGAATGAAGGCCGAACCCAGTTGCAGACGCCACGAGAGAGCTCCGGTGTCCTTCACGGCCAGGTTGGCGCAGAAACCGAGGAAGATACCAAACGCAGTCCACCTGGAGATAGGAGGGGAGACAGGTCAGCTTCCCATCGCCGATCAGAAAGGAGGGGGAGGACGGCGTACATTTGCCAAGACATGACCAGGCCGCCACGAATGGAAGCGGGGGTGTTTTCAGCGCAGAAGATGGGGATGGTCGACGCTTTCATACCCATGCCCAGGCCCAGGAGCAAGCGAGTGACGAAGAGCTGTTGCCAGGTCTGGGACACAGCACTGCCAATTGGGGAAAGAGTACAGAAGATGGCCGCGATGAAAATGGCACCGCGGCGGCCGAGATAGTTGTTGAGCGGATCGGAGCACCAGCAGCCCAGAACGGCACTGGCAATGTACGGGGCCCTGTGCTGCCGTCAGCGCCTGGAGCAGAAGGAGTCGGGTCGCTTGGTGGGGGGGGGGGGGGGGGGGGGGGGTGGTTCTTACGCGTTGACAACACCGATCAGCCACTCGTTCCTGGCCGCGTGCGGACCCTTCTGGGGGATGTCCAGCGCATCCGGGAAGGACAGGTTCGCACCGTTGGAACCGGTCTGGTCCCAACCCCTAGAAGAATCGCAGGTCAGAATCTTATCATCCATGGGTCTGCGACGTCGATACGTACTGGACGGCAGCGCCGATGGAGCACAGAATGATGGTGAAGTACAAGGCCCAAGGCTGGCGCCACCGGTGCAGGACCTCATTGCGAATGGCCTCGGCCTCGTCCTCGGTCAGGCCCTCGACCGTCTGGAAATTGGCCGGATCCCGAGCAATGAGGGCACCCTTCCGGAGAAGAGGGAGGATGTCGGTGAGCTGATGCTCGTTCGCAAACTGATCCACATCCCGAAGCACCTGGTTGGGCGTCAAGTCGGCGAGAGGGTTCTTGATCCTAGAGTGCCAGTCAGACATGAACCTTTCGTCCGATTTCCAGCGCAGCCCATCACGTACTTGGCGGAGACATTGTTGTTCAAGTTGATTCTCTCAATGTGGCCCTGTTCCGCGTCGGACGCCTCCCCACTGGATATCAGACAAGCCGTCAGCTTCTGCTCGAGCGAAAAGAAGTCGACAGTCTTCCCAAGACCAACCTGGACACCGTCTTCTCATTTGGCTGGACGGGAGCAACCTCGTCCTTGGCGGGCTCAGCCATGGTGAACTGAGGACAACGGTCTACAGAGGTGCTCGAGGAAAGGAGAGAGGAGAACGAGCAGGCACTTCAGTCCCAGGCAAAGAAACTGCACGTCCAGGAAGTCGATGACTGTGGGGTAGGGGACCAGGGAGAATTGCGAGGACTTATATGCCGGAGGCTCGACGACGACGACGAGCCACACCGGGGCCGACGCACGAGAACAAACATTTTGCAGTCAAGGTCCCACTCTGGGGCAAATCTGACGGCGTGTTCCTTCGATCAGATCGGCATGGGTGGATGATTGGCCGTTCGCAGGGCAGACGCTGCTGCTCGCGGGCAAACGTCGTCAAACACCCCGGCTCGGCGTCTCCTCACTCGGGCTCGGGAGCGACTAAGCCCACGGGGACAGCAGGCTAGCAGGGCGACGGCCTGGCTGGAATGGCCCGTGAGGGCACGGGAGGTTGCCAGGCAGGCCGACTCAGGGCCAGCTTCAGACTCGATGCTTCCACGGTCCCGAATGGCATTGCGCAGTTGGGTGGGGATTGCAAGGCCTCGGTCGGGCTCGAGGGGGATCCTTTGGGCCGCCGTGAGCCGGGACGGAAGTCGAACGCGGCCCAGGCAGGCTAGGAGCAGTGTTCCCCGGTCTGGGGGTCAGTGTCCGGGGATACGAGTCCCTAGGTCGTCTTCTCCTCATCTCCAGACAGGCGGAGTTGGAGAGTGCACGCGGGCTGGCAGTGGGGCAGCGACATTGCGTGGGAAGGGAAAGTGCAATCGGGCCAAGACACAGAGGGAAGGAACGCGAGAGCAGCCATATCAGGAAAGTGCGGCACAGGCCCACCGCACTCACCGGCCCAGCAGGAGAAAGAGAAAGAGCGAGTCCCTTCCATCGGCCACGCGGCGATCGGCATTCACGAGCCCTTGCGCGTCGAGGTTCTCCTGCATGACATGCTCGCTCAGCCTCGCTGCGATGGACGACTGTGAAGTGGAATGTTTCATCGCACTCCGCACAGCACAGGACAGGCCATTTCCGGCGACGACCTCGGCTGCCCTGCGAGCTTCAGGCTTTTCTGCCAGCAGCAAAAACGCAGGCGCGGGCGTTTCAGTGGCTGCGCGCCACAATGCGCTAGCCTTGCAAAGAGCGTTTTAGCATGCTGCAGCGCGTCTCTTGGCTGAATGGGATCTTCGCCCTCCCCGCCTCTTTCGTCAAAGCGGCCAACCAACGCTTGCGCCGGAAAGGAAAGGCGCCAGAAAACACTCGAAGGCGCCTGAGCGAAGTCACCTGCATACCGATTTAGCCTCGATTACCTCTCCTCCACGACGGATGCGACAACACCAACAGCAATGTCAACCTTCTTTCTTGGTGTTAGGCCACCCACCTAGCGCATCTCCACCTCCGCTCTTTTCGAGTTGGCTCGACGCTCACCAGCGCAAGTGTGGAGATGCGTCCGCAAAAGGCCTTATCCGTGGATGGCAGCTTTACGGAGTACCTACACCAAGGCATGAAAAGGAATCGGGGTCACGGAAGGAAGCAACGCATCACGTGATGGTCGAGAATATTGCCCGCTCAATCCATCCTGCCCTCTCAACGGCAAGATCAGGGTGTGAAAACTCTGTGCGCCCCGCCACAGATAGGCTCTGATAACCATACTGCGCTCAGGGTGCCCACGGTCTTCTCCGGACTTGGCCGTGCCCAGACTAGGCGGACTAGGCTCTAGCAGCGCACTCGAGGGGCCGTGAGCAACCACCTTGGCATTCTCTGGGGTCTGGAGTAGCCGGGGCTGGAGGCCTGGCCTCGCGCCATGTGGAGCGGGCGTCGTTGGCGTCTCTTCGGCCATCCGCGTTGGGATGGCGACATTTCAATCATTATTGACAGGCAAGCCACCTACAGTCGATTTGCACTGCAACGAATTCCTATGACATCATTTTTTTTTCTTTCAACTCTGCTGGCTGCGACATTTTTTTTTCTTTTTCTTTCTTTCTTTCCATCCCGTGCTTGCCATTGGGCGAAATGCTAAGGTACGCGGCAATTCCGAACGGTCGCGCCGTCGCCAGACTCCGCACCGAGCGGCAGCAGAAGGCATCAGAATGGGGCGGAGAATTGATTAAATTTTTCCAGCGTATAGCGTTCCAAGAAAAGCGCTTGTTCTTTGTGTTCCAGCCTCCGCGATTGCGCTCGTCTTTGCCGGTTCTGAATGGGGAAATGGGGGCGTGCTTGCTTGAAATCCGGGGAATGACCGAGCGTGTCAAGGATTCGGATCCGGGTAGGCTGGGGCGGAATCGATGTGTTGGTAGACGGCCAGGCAACCAGCAACAATCCTACGAGGCTTATATATATGTAAGTGCCAAGCTGGAAGAATCGTACTGACCTTGTGAGACAGTCGACTGTACACAGAATTCAAACGGCTTGCATCGCATTCCTCGCAGACTTGTGCAACAAACCCTCCATAGGAGGGTGTCGTGATCAGTAAACCCTCGCAAACAAGATAACCGCCTGAGTTCACCGGTATACCGTACAGAGCTAGTTTCCAGAAACACGCAAGCACATAAGCATGACCTGAACCATACGAGTTAAAACTCTAGCGCCGCGTCAAACGAGCTTCTAGAAAAACTCTCGAACAGCCACCTTCTTACCAGCCGTGTGTACAGAGTATATTCGAATTAAAATCCTCTAGCGCCGCGTCAGATTAGCTTCTAGAAAAACTCTCACAACAGCCACCTTCCAGCCCGCAGGTGAGGCGTTGTACAAAATTCGACACCATACTCCATACGGGATAACTATGCGGTGCGGAAATACGGTACCGAATATCACGACGGTCCAGAGCTGCAGCCTGCAAGCATCATAAGATGAGCGATCGGGCTGGCGACCATAGAAATGGCGATCGGGCACTAAAGCAAAATGTTCAATCTGGGATGGTGAATGAGCCATTCCTTTCCCTACCAAGCGGAGTAATAAAAACTCGCTTGACCTTCCGGATTCCTGGAACCCTACATACGTACTCATTAGAGTCAGGACCCTGCTACTGGGTTACTACGACTAGGCTAGGCTACTGGCGTATCCATACGCATAGTTACTCCGGGATTATCAGTTTCCAGGGGGCCGTGCATGCATCCTTCATGCATCCTTCATTAATAGTATTATTTCGAAAGTGGAAGGAAAATGGAGAGACCTAGCTAGAATGTTGCGAGATTAATCATTGTCTGGCCTTGTTCCAGAAGGATTTGTTGGTTATTAAGGAGGACATCATCTGATCCTGCTGAAACGTGCGTTCGACATACAACATTGAAAATCTCTATCTTAATTTGTCAGCATCTATTTACTCTACCTACCTCGTCTGTATGCAGGTAGGGAGTTTGCAGCCTGACTGGGTCAGTCAGTCAGTCTGAAAAGGCAAAAAGGCCATACTGCACTTACCCGTGCCAACAAACAAGCAGTCAAACAATCCAAAGATTTTTTTTTTTGGAAAGAAAAGAAAAGGAAAAAGAAAAGGCTCACAGAAAAATTGAATCCATTATGTAATATTTAATACTAGATCCCACAGCTGGCACTAACGATAGACGAAAAAAAAATAAAATAAAATACTACTA